AAGACGTCTCACCGACGAGCCAAGACCCTGAGAATTGCCCATTCCAAGAGGAAGGTGATCTTCCAACCACAAAATGGTGACAGGGCCTATGCCTATGTTAGTTCAATGGAGGCACAAGGTCCAAATCCCCATTAAAATGGCTTGATTAGACCATGAGAAAATCCACATCTTTGAAAGGCTAAAATCCATTGAAATCCATTACGTAATGTTGTGGGCCACGTGGTGCCCCCCAGTCGCTGTGTAAAATGGTGAGCTCAGATGCCTCCCACGTCGCGGATGTGGATGATGAGTTTTGCCAGAGCTGCTTGTAAACCTCAGAGTACGGAACATGGCAGGGTGTGCTAGCACCAATGATGGTGATCAGGGGCGCATCTTGTAATTGTTTCTCCCAATAACGTATATTATGTATCTATTATACATGTATGTGTTTGCGTGTGAAAATTTAGATGTATGTAGTGCATTTGTACATCGGATATTGCAGTGATACGGGTGCATAACGAAGAAATAGGTGTATATCCATATACATATATATATATGTGTGTGTATCTAAATAAAAACATACGCAGTCGCATCTTACAGTATAGTGTAAATAAATGTTGGGTTCTTCCTGCGACTGGCAGTGATAGATATTGGGTTTATTGGCTTGGAGGATCTTCCTTCTCGCCAGGACGAGTATAATAGGATATGTTCTGCGTACAATCAGTATCATTATCTTGGTGGTTCGGCCAGATCCCTTGCGAACTGATCTTGTTTGGTGAATCCATATCCAACCCCAAAACACTGAACCAAAAAACTAAGTGCGTTGCTACAATCCATCATTTGGATTTGTCAACAAATGAGGTATACTAGGTACAGTATACTATACACACCTCCTTTCCAACAAATTGCATGCACCTTGAGTGTTCAAACGAACTGACATCTGACTCTGAAATGGATGATGACAATCCCCTTTAATTATACCAGGTAGTATAACCCCCCTATAATAACCAATCAACAAACAACAGAGGTTTTGTTGCTCAAGTTGGAATCACCACCCCCTTTTTCACCGTGGTTCCTGTTTCTTAGCTAGATATCTTTAAAAAACCACCAGCCTCCAGTATATAAACTTCACATATCCTCATATAACATAGATTTCGAAACAGGAATTCTCCATGATTTCTCCATGATTTTCCTTTTCCCATGGTTTTCCCATGATTTTCCCATGGCTTCTGACCATTCTCCCGGCTCCCTCCGTTTCACAACGTCGCCAAAAACGCTTTGGTCGCGTGGCCACTGCGACGTAGCGCCACGGCGACGCCTTCACCGAGGCCAATGGTCAAACAGGAGTTCCAGTCCATGACTTCCTCGGCGATCGAAGGAGTGGATAATGGTTTATAATGTGGTTATATCCTATAATATATGGTTTATCATTTATAATTATAATGATGGAAATATATATATATGGTTTTCATGGAGGTTTTCATGATTTTGGAGGAGGATACTTGGTGGCTCATCCCACGAATCGTAAGTGGCTTATAACCCCAATTATAAGTGGATTAACCCTACTTATCCCATTGATAACTGGGGTTATAACCCACTAACTAAGTGGGATGAGCCACCAAGTGGTGATAGAAACTGGGATTATGGGAAATATATATATATATATCTATATATATGGTGATATAGAATGGTATAATATGGCATAAGTATAATGGGATTGTAAATGGTGATTATAATAGTTTATAATGGGATAATCATCATCTAATGGCAGTTTTTATGGGATAATGGGATATATAATGGATTATAAATGGTGATTAAAAATGTATATGATATTATATAGCTAATATATAACTACTGGAATATCCTTCAATAGTCATGGGATAGTCATGGAAAATAAGAGTGATTAATAACACATAGATCATGCATTATGAGGGGACTTTTTGAAGGGATAATCTGGGAGAACCCCCTTACAACCAGCTCACATATAGATCATGGGATAATGGTGATTAGTTCGCAGAAAATAGATGGGGAAACGAATATCATTGATTGTGATATTTCATGATAGTTATTAATGATGGATATATAACTATGGATACCCTCTGGTAAACTAACATAACTATGGAAAATCATCATGTTTAATGTGTAAATAAACTATAAATGGCCATGTTCATTAGCTATGTTAGTTTACCGGAGAGTATATTTCATGGAGATATACAATAATATTAAATCATGGGATTATTATTACTATATATATATATCACCATCACCATCATTAAATATCACTATCAATGGGAGAAAAACATCAATGGATTTGCATTTTTTCGAAAAGAATGATATGGCGATTATCCACATCATGGGATGATATGGATAATCATAATGATTTTATCAATGGCCATTCCAGGAACCTAAATTGGAGGTACCTACCATATATAAGGCCTATGTAAGGGAATATTCCCCACAATATATGGCCTTATATGGTACAGTACCTCCATTTTAGGATCCTGAAATTCCCATTGATACAAGGCGATATACTGGGGACCATGCTATGATAGAATAATCATACATTGGTTCACCCATACATGGGAGATATAATGGGATTATTTCCCTCTACGTAGTAAATACTGATTCGTTCAGATACAACGGGGATATCATGGGGATATAATGGGAGTACGGGGATGCAGGGTGGTGCCCCTGAGTTATAAGTTGGTTTATAACCCCGTCTAAATCTATAAATAAGTATCATACACGATTGTTAGAAAATGTTATAAACCAACTTAGCTAACGAACTGGGGCCCCATCCTGTAGTGGGACATGGGATTAATGATAACCCTGGGCGGAAATCCCCGCACTACTTGGGCTACAGGATGTTGCCTTGGAAAAAATTGTCTTTAGCCTGAGGATTTAAGCATCAAACATCGGACATACCCAGGTTTCCAACAAGGTATGGTGTAAACATTGGATTTACCCTCTGGTAAACTAACCTAACTATGGAAAATCACCATGTTTAATGGGAAAATCCACTATAAATGGTCATTTTCAATAGCTATGTTAGTTTACCAGAGGGTAAAATGGGATCTTAATATACCCAAAGAGTATAACCTTGAGGTTTTAACATTTTTTAGCCATCAACAACAAGGATTTAAGAGGGATGGAACCGGGATAGAATGGGATATACAACCAACCAGAACTCTCTCTGGGGATATTCATGAGTATGACCATTGGATTTTAATCCCAAAAAGTTGGGATATATCCCTCTAACTATGGTTATATCACCACTTAGAACTGGAACTGCACCCCGTTCACGAAATAGCCATGGAATTACCATGAGAATCCATGAGATATGGATTTATTTTTCGCCAACAAAGATCCATATTCCCATAGTTCAATGGCGCATGTAACACGACATATGCATGGGGATATGGAAGGGGATACCTTCGATGGCTTGGGGATGCAAATGGCTGGGAAATCGTGGAACTAGCCATGGAGCTTTACTAGGAAGATCTGGTTGGTGGTTGACCTACCCCTCTGGAAAAATATGAGTTCGTCAGCTGGGATGATGACAATCCCAATATATGGAAAGTCATAATCCAGTCATGTTCCAAACCACCAACCAGATTTATAGATGATTTTGCCTTTGAAGCAACCATTTAGAACTTTTCCATAGCTTCCGAATCAATCGGCTCTAGCTGGGAAGTCCCGAAACGAAGCATGGCAATTCCATGGCTATTTCGTTGGTGATATAACCATAGTTAGAGGGATAGCAAAGCATGTTTGATTACAGGAGGGTCAACCCAACTTGGGGGAGTATGATTATGATTGAAATTATACCCATGAAGGTTAAATGAAGGTTAATGCTAGTAAAACAGTGAATATCTCCCAACAACATCTAGTGTTTATAACCAATAACCTCTGGTAAACTAACATAGCTATGGAAAATCACAATTTTTCATGGGCAAATCAACTATCTCTATGGTAATTTTCAATAGTTATGTTAGTTTACCAGAGGGTACCAATGAATAACCCCAAATAGTTCTGGTTGGTTGTATGTCCCACTATATCCCTCCTAAATCCCTCTTCTTGATCGTCAAAAACATGTGAAAATCTCATGGCTGTACTATTTGATGGGTATAAATCCCACTAAATCCCATGTTTATACCTATTAAGATCCCATTACCCTCTAATAAACTTACAATAAACTATGGAAAATCACCATTTTTACGAGGTAAGTCAACCATTTCTATGGCGATGTTCAATATGTTAAATCACCAGAGGGTAAACCATCTGGAAATCCTCATGAGATCACCATGAGATCAGTTCCATTTGTCATCCCAATTCTCCTGGTAAACCATAGTAAATGTCCAAACCTCATGGTGAAAAAAACTATTTGGGTATATTCAGAATTATTCAGATCCCATTAAAATCCCATTTTGATACCATTCCTCTGGTTGGTGGTTGACCTACCCCTCTGAAAAATATGAGCTCGTCAGTTGGGATGATGACATTCCCAATATATGGAAAAATAAAAGTCATGTTCCAAACCATCAACCACCTAGTTGATTTTCCCATTGAAACCTCCATTTATAGTTGATTTACGTATTAAACATTGTGATTTTCCATAGTTATGTAAACGTTTACCAGAGGGTAATCCCGTTTTAATACCATCTGGTTATTTAACATAGCCATGGAAAATGGCCCATAGAAATAGATGATTTTCCCAGCTATAAACCTCCATTTATGGTTGGGATTTTCCATGGCTATGTTAGTCATAACCAGATGGTACCATTCCTTGTTGGAAAAACCATGGTGATTTCCAGAGTTATATATCCATCATTAATGGTTATATCACCACTATGGTTATATTACCACTATGGCTATAATCCCATTTTTATACAAAGTGGGGCCCCCTAGATAGCTAAGTTGGTTTATAACTTCAATAACTATGGTTTATGGTACTTATAACTATAGTTATTGGGGCTTATAAACCAACTTGTAACTAGGGGGCCCCACATTGTACCATTCCTTGTTGGAAAAAACCTGGGAAATCCCAAAACTTCACCCTGGCCACCCGGCGGCCAAGGCAGTGCCGAAGGCTCCGAGATCTGGTTCGGTTTCACGCCACTTGAAACGCAGAGCATGGCAACGATCACCATGGTACTGACCAAGATGTTACACCTGGGCTGATGACCCTCTGGTAAACATATAAAAAGGCTGGGAAATGAAGGCTAAACGAAGGTTAATGTTAGTAAAATAGTGACTATCTCCCAACATCTAGTGTTTATAACCAATACCCTCTGGTAAACTAACAGGGTGCTATCGAAAATGACCATAGAAATGGTTGATTTACCCATTAAACATGGTGATTTTCCAGTTCGTTCTTTAAGCGTTTACCAGAGGGTAGTTAGTTCGTTAATTACCGTTTTTGGTAAGAATATATCAGCTGGTAACTATACTTCATTGATTACTCACCATTTTTTGTGGCTAATCAGCCATTATAATGATTGGTATTGAGGTTAATCATTATTAGCAATGATAGAGCATTACGAGCTTAATAAACAATGGAATTATAGTAACTATAGTACAGTAACAATATATCAGTCAGTGATTAATCAGTCACTAGTTCATTGATGTTCATTGATCGGTTGGTTGTATTTAGCGAATTCGTCAATATTATAAGAGAAGGTAACTGTAGCCAATCCATTAGTTGGTTGTTATCTAACTAATCTTAATTGATGGATTAGTAACTATAGTAATTCTCAAAAAAAAACAGTATCATGATACGTACTGGTCCATAATGATTAGCAATGATAGTAGGACCCAACCGGAACTGTAGTAGTCAGTGTCATGTAATATATATATATATACCCTCTGGTAAACTAACATAACTATGGAAAATCACCATTATTAATAGGTAAATCCACTATACATGGCCATTTTCAATAGCTATGTTAGTTTACCAGAGGGTAGTAATGGTTGACAATGATTAGAAATGGTTGGTGGTTCATGATGGTTAATACCAGTACGTTATTGATGGTTTATGAACCAGCACTATTGATTAGTATAATTCATGAATAGTAATAAAACTTTAACAGTATATGATGTTTAATTAATACAAACCATTTATATTAACTATTAATAGTGGTTTTATAATATCAAGCCTCTGGTAAACTATTACTGGTTAAGATTTGTAACAACCACCAGTTATATAATCATATACACCATCATATGATGAAAAACATTCATGACTAATGTAATGATTAGCCAGTTAAAACAGTATATGATGGTTAATACAAGGCTGTGCCCAGTTATAAGTTTATTTATAAACCATAGTAAGTAGTTCGATATATCTACCATAAACCATAGTTATTGGAGTTATGCTCGCCAACTTAGCTAACTATGGGTCACCAGCTTGTATGAAAAGATGGTGATTTATAGTTGACTTACCTATTAAACATGGTCATTTATAGTGGGTTTACCTATGAAAAGATAGTGATTTTTCCAGTTCGCTGTATAAACGTTTACCAGAGGGTACCCCGAATGATTTTATAACTGGTGGTTATTCCCATATTACACCCCGCCGTCGTCGGTCCCAAAGTCCCAAAGATGTGATGAGTTAAAAAATCACTGGCCCGCATGGTTTTTCTGGGGCTGTTCATGGGGAAGGGCCAAGGGGGGTCAACGTTGCTTGTATTTACCATCTGGTTATGACTAACAGTTTGACATGGAAAATCACCATTTTTAATAGGTAAACCATCTATTTCTATGGGCCATCTATACCATGGCTATGTTAAATAACCAGAGGGTAGCTACTCCATCAGATACAATAAGATAACGATCATGCAATACATTAATCAACCAATCAATTCATCCATCAAACAATGATACTTAAATCAGAGTGTCGTCCTCCGGTAATTTGACAGTGACGAACAGGTTGCTATGCAAATCACCAGTGAAATAATAGGCAATCAAATTATATAATTGTGTTCACAAATGCTGCGAAACACCCCAGATAGAGCATTTGATGTTGAAGTTTGGGCAAATGTCGGCAGGCGTACCCAAAAGCCGACGGATAAAAATCTGCTGCGTGTCCAACTTCTGTAGAAGGAAGTCAAGGAGGTTGAAAAAGGCGCGGCTGGCTGCGTGCTGTCTAGCCATCCTGCAGCAGCAGCCCGAACACTCTGGCAGCGTCCAGGTCTCTACTGCCAAGATATCCATCCGGCCACGAGCCCCACTCTGCTCCGCAGTCTGCTGTTTTCGTCATGGAGACGCTGCATTCTTTCTTCGTGACGCTGTACCTGGTCGAACAGCCGTCCGAAGACATCTACCATGTCGGTAGGGGGATACATCTCCACTGTAAGTGGCGCCATGCGAGTCAAAGTGGGATCCATACCGTCCTGCAGACTCTTAAATTACCAAGGGGTAGTTAATTGGATTCGCGAATAAAACAGTAGAAAAATTAGACCAGTTATCAATTATAGAATTATTACTTCACTAATTGATGCCTAGTTAACTGATTAGCCAATTAGATTAGTTGACTGCTTGGTGGTTGAGCCCCCTGAAAAATGTGCTCATCAATGGGATCATCATCCCCTCTAGCTAGTTAGTTAGATACTGTTAGATAACAAAATCATACAAAATGCCAACTAGTTAGTTTCATTCATCCCGCAAATCCATGAGAACATTACACTTAAGTCAGGTAATCCATCAGATTGTAGTCAGAGAAAAGTCAAGTACACCGACTACTAGTAGCTCATACGCTTGATAAGTAAAGTCATCCGGTCCAATCCACCAGCATGAGCTAGGGAAACTCTATACTAAAGTAATCTAAAGTAGCTCCGAACTGCTCTCCATATAAAAGGGAATCTGCGGAATATCGATACCCATAATGTGGTCTAGCCAATAGTGATATCTTGTCAATAGTAGAAACATTTTTCCGCAACTCCAATTTTTCTCCAATACTAAAAGTCAATTAGCTCCATTTACTTTTAGTATTGCCAAAAGAGTCATGTTCAGACCTTGTCCAGAGGGCATGGCCAATAGTGGACCCAACATGGCAATAGTGGAAACTTTTTTCCCAACTCCAATTTTTCTCCAATACTAAAAGTCAATTAGCTCCATTTACTTTTAGTATTGCCAAAAGAGTCAAGTAAAGCAAATCCTTTTTCAAAGCAGCCTTCACTTTTGATTAGCAAAAGCTTAGATTCCAGAAATCTGATCCAATTACCAAACCGCTGATTTCCTTATAAAACCCTTATTTAAAAAAGCAAGAAAACAGGTCCACAAAGGGTACCCCCTTTGCAAGCCCCAGAATAGCAATAACAGCACCAGGCATGGCAATAGTGGAAACTTTTTTCCGCAACTCCAATTTTGTTGTCCTCCTTCTCCTTCTCCTTCTCCTTCTCCTTCTTCTCCTTCTTCTCCTCCTCCTCGTCCACCTCCTTCGCCTCCATCCCAGCCATAAGGTTCCAAAAATTTACTATTGGAATGCTGACCCCCCCGACTTTTTTTAAAAAATATTTTATTTAGGGGGGGGTTACTATTAGGCAGCATACATTACTGGTTGGTGGTTAAAAAACCATCTTGAAAAATGATGGAGTTCATCAATGGGAGGGATGACATCCCACCTGCCCAGCTCAGTGTGCACCGCTGGACCTCAACCTGGGACCTGCCCAGCTCAGTGTGCACCGCTGGACCTCGCCAGATATATGCCAGAAATATGCCAGATATGCCAGAAGATATGCCAGATAGAATGCCAGAGACATAGAATGCCAGAAGATATGCCAGATAGAATGCCAGATAGAATGCCAGAAGATATGCCAGATAGAATGCCAGATATGCCAGAAGATATGCCAGATAGATGCCAGAAGATATGCCAGAAGATAGAATGCCAGAAGAAGATATGCCAGAAGATATCCAGATAGAATGCCAGAAGATATGCCAGATAGAATGCCAGAAGATATGTCATGCCAGAAGATATGCCAGAAGATATGCCAGATAGAATGCCAGAAGATATGTCAGATAGAATGCCAGAAGATATGCCAGATAGAATGCCAGAAGATATGTCAGATAGAATGCCAGATAGAATGCCAGAAGATTTGCGAGTAACAAAATGTATAAATGTCATGGTGGGGGGTCACACGAAGTAAAGTAATTCGTTTTTTTCCAGGGGCTATGTTAATTTACCAGAGGGTAAATCCACTCTAAATGGCCATTTTCCAGTTCGCAAACTGTAACAAATTAGCCTCCGGTAATAGGATTTCATGGACTTAACTAATGGAACTTAAGATGATTTTCAATGGGTAAACCCACTATAATAGCAAACTGTAACAAATTAGCCATAGCTCCGCTAGGTGCGGTGCGAACCCTTGATGAAACCCTCCAGAAATTCCGTGGGATTTCTGTCTGTTCCATCCCCAGGGGGGACGACCAATTTTCGCCGATGGCGCGCGGCCACGTTGAGGCGGTCAAAACGGCGGAGGTAATGACCATTTGCCAGGCAAAATGATGGTTGATGATGGTGAATGGTTAATAATGGTTATATAATGATGGTTAATGATGGTTATATAATGATGGTTATATAATGATGCCAACATCCACCAGGGATAGATATGTAATATAATGGTTAAAAATGGTTAATTTAATGGTTAATGTCAAAGTTAATGATGGTGAATAGTTAATGTCATGGTTAAACAAAATGATGGTTAATGATGGATTTTATATTGACTACCATCTTTTTTTTATGACTAACAGTTTGCCATGGAAAGATCCACCATTTTCAAGAACGGTAAGCCATCTATTTCTATGGGCCATTTCCCATGGCTATGTTAAATAACCAGATGGTAAGCAGACATTCACTTACTGGTGCCAAACGCAGTAAGATTTTCGGGAATGATCCACAATATCAATCATCATCCCAGCAACCCCCAGCAACCCATCCATTCCCTACGTAAAACGCACCAGTAAGTTCAAGAAACATAATGCATACCCTCCGGTAATTGATGTAACGTGGTCAATGGACATCCCGAACCAAACGCGGCAGTTTGGTCATGGGAAAGCCATCTGGAAATGGCAAAAAAAACAACTGCCACGGAAATGATCGGAGGGTGAACTGGAAACACCACAAACAAGTAGGATATGAAAGATGGAGCGTCGAGCCCGAGAGATTTAAAAAAAACGTCAAACAAGGGGACATAAAGAATAAAAGTTGGGTTTGAACATGTTTGAACGGTGTGGACCAACAGCAAAAATGAAGATATGACCCTCCAACATATGGGACTATATATCACTAGTGTAACTTATGGTGGAACATGGATGAACGAGCCCAACTTATAGACATTGTTAATCTCAGAACCACCTGCAAAAAATAGACTTTTTAGATGGATGCCCCCGTAATCCTGACTGATAGACACCTGGTCTTGGGCATGATCACAAACGACTAGTTCCAGCAAAGGCACCTCTTTTGCAAGTCCTGGCGAGGTAGGACTGGAAAACCACTCAACATTTTTGCGGCCGAACATGGCTACTTGGATGTGCATCCCAGTTTGTAAATCCGCTTGCGTTGACACACATGTTCCTCCATAACTAACCACTTATAAGTGGAACTGCTGTCTTGAAGCAGGGAAAAGTGAAGCTAAGCTACGTTAAGCCACTAACCTACATTGCATAATTTTATTCCCATAACTGTCCCATTAATAGATGATAATTCATGTCACTGATCAGTGACTACATGTGACTACCCAGTAAATTGACATAGACCCTGCCAGTTGTCGGCCTTGGAAGATTGCCAATCTTCAAACGGGTGAATTTTTAGGGTCAGTCTGTTCATTTATGAGAGGGTAATCCAAAAAACTTGACCAACTCAACGGTTCCAGAAATGGAGGTACCACTGAATCATCCATTTCTCTGAAAAATATGAGTTCGTCAGTTGGGACGATGACATTCCCAACTGAATGGAAAGTCATAAAATTCATGTTCCAAACCACCAACCAGTATCATATATATATATACACATACATAGCCATGGAAAATCACCATCTTGAATATTTTTGGGTAAATCAACCATTTCTATGGGCTTTGCCATAATAGCTATGCAAGAAATTACCCCCTGGTAATTTAACATGGCTATTGAAAATCACCATTTATAGTGAATTTTCCTATGAACAATGGTGATTTTCAATAGTTATGCAACAAATTACCAGAGGGTATCCCCTCACAAACCATATGTGTGTTTCTTCGAACCCCGGCAGCACCAGTCACCAGTCCAGCACCAAAGCCACAATGAGGCCCGTGGCAGCCATGATGCCACGCCTCGGATGGAAAATCTGTGGAATTTTACCATGGGAAAGCCAGGTGAGTTGACTCATACCCATATAACTGGGTAAATTACAAGATTTCACCAACCTGAATAGTTCGGCCATTTGGGGATGATTTCCCTTATTAACCATGATTCCCAGTGAGGTCGCAGTGAGGTCGTGATCAAATTTACCCAGATAGAAGGACTGGAACCCAAAATTCAATAATGTCCTAAAATGGAAAAAATAGAGGGGCCGGGATGTTTTGGTAATTCCATCTATCATCATAGAAACCTGTTGTTAAAGGGGGTTCTGAAGAAACCCCTCTATTAATCAACCAACCAATGGGAAAAGGACATCTATGCCAAGTTATACGTGTCCAAGAAGAAAATCATCCAAAGCATCCCAGGAGGGTTCGGTACTGCAAAGAAAGCATGTAATGTACCATCTTGTTTTTTAACATAGCCATGGAAAATCACAATTTTTAATAGGTAAACCATCTATTTCTATGGGCATAAATGGGCCATGTCCCATGGCTATGTTAGTCATAACCAGAGGGTAGTAGATCCAACAAACCCACAATATTGCCATAGATGGATGGTGAAAAAACAATGGATGTAAAAATCATCCCCGAATGGTAGGCTTGTGGCATTGGCTTTGCCACGAGCCAAACATGACAAGCCTTGGTATCCGAAACCCCCAAACAAGCCTGGATGAAATTCCCAAAGTGTATCCCCTCACAAACCATATACCCTCCGGTTATTTAACATAGCCATGGTATAGATGGCCCATAGAAATAGATGGTTTACCGAACTTAAAAATGGTGGATCTTTCCATGGCTATGTTAGTCATAACCAGATGGTATCTCAATATAACCATCATTAACCATCATTATATAACCATTATTAACCATTCATCATCATTAACCATTAAACAATAACCATTTATATTACATATCTATCCCCTCACAAACCATATACCCTCCGGTTATTTAACATAGCCATGGTATAGATGGCCCATAGAAATAGATGGTTTACCGAACTTAAAAATGGTGGATCTTTCCATGGCTATGTTAGTCATAACCAGATGGTATCTCAATATAACCATCATTAACCATCATTATATAACCATTATTAACCATTCATCATCATTAACCATTAAACAATAACCATTTATATTACATATCTATCCCCTCACAAACCATATATTCAACCCATTTCAACACGATGAATCCTATGATTTCGGTCTTTTCCCAGCTGGCCCATTGATATTGACGACCATTTTGGGCGAGGGCGATATCAAGGCCATGTTGATGCTTAAATCACTTTATGTTTCATGGTTGAATCCCAAGCAAAACACTAGAGAAATAATAAGTGTCATAAGGGAACTAAGTTGAGTAGCTCTAATTCTTGCTTATATATCCAATTCATCCATTCCCCCTTTTTATATTTTTTATATCAAGCACCCCCCACAAGCTTGTGCCCCCCCCAGTTAAAAGTTGGTTTATAAACTATAGTAAGTATAGATATATCTATAAACTATAGTTATTGGAGTTATGCTCACCAACTTAGCCATTCCGAACTGGGGCAACACCTCGCGGAAACCATGCTTTATCTGGTTGGTGGTATACCTACCCCTCTGAAAAATATGAAAGTCAGTTGGGATGATTATTCCAAATATATGGCAGTGTGTCAAAACCTTGTACCCCTGTAGTTCACATCAAAATAGCTGGTAAATGGATGTTCATCCCCCTAAAAATGGTATTAATAGGTATTGATCCATAGCCATATGGAAAGTCATAAAAGTCATGTTCCAAACCACCAACCAGCTTGGAACCATTTCGAGAGCCCATGGAGCCAGTTCCACCAAGCGTCCACATGTCAGTGGCCCGGCCGTGCCGCGGTGCCTGACCGGAATCCGAATGCATCAAGAGATGCCCCCAGGCTCCACTCAGATTGGTTAAGGGAAAATTTTAACCGGAAACCCCCTACAGGAGGGGGCCCCCAAGATAGTGGTTATGATTGTTATTAATAGTGGTTAGTAACTCTTAATGGTTCGTGATAATGGTTAATACCCTACAGGATGGGGCCCCCAGTCGAGCTCGCGTTCAGTTGCCTTATTTCAGTGGCTGAATTCTATGGTTTATGGTAGATATAACTATAATGGGGGTTATAATGGTTTATAAACCAACTTAGAACTGGGAGGCCCCATCCTGTATATTTAATGGTAAAAGCCCATGGGGTTCCGGTTAAGATTTTCCCTTACACCAATCTAGTGATTGGCCTACTTATCAACCAACTTAGCTAAGTATGGGGCACCACCTTGTATTATTTATGGTTGAATCACCATTTTTCAGCATGCATGGGTAAATAATGGTTACATTTTACATCATTTTATACACATCATGTTAAGTCAACCATTTTGGATTATCTTTTACGTTGCGCTTGGTAAATCCCATGACATTCCCGTTTTTGATGGTTACCTCTGGTAATCTATGGGAAACCCACCATTCTTGAATGGCAAATCATCTGCAAGTGGGTCATTTGTCATAGCTATGTTGGATTACCAGAAGGTATATGCGAAAATTTCATAAAATTTCAGGGTCAAGGTGATTTAGAATCATCCCACGTAGAAAATTGAAGACATACAGTTGTGGAATTTGTTTCAAACCACCAACCACTTCAGGTGTTCGAAAAATTGGAGTTCAAAGTTGACTTCGGACCAGTATCGTCAGCTTATACAACATCACAAGAATGAAACCCTCGATCTATAGCCATCTAGAGGAGTCTTTGGGTCGTACTGTGCAAGATGTCTCTCATCCTTCCCTCTGATCTTGAACTATGGTATCTAACCCCAATATATACCGACTATGCCATTTCTCCATCCCCGGAAAATGGTTGTTGTGTATATCTTCACTATATCTCCACTATATCTTGATAAATAGTAATGAATAATTTTCAAACTCACCTGAATAGTTCACCATGTTCAGGAATTCACTAAACTTTCATGATTCACTGACCTATAAATAATACTAATGTACCCTCTGGTAAACATACAAAAAGCTATTGAAAATGGCCCAGTCGAAATAGTTGATTTACCCATTAAAAATGGTGATTTTCCATGGTTATGTTAGCCCGTTTACCAGGCCGGGTATCTAATATTGGGGCATACCTTACATCCCTTACATCCCTTACTTAAATCGGAATTGGCGATATGATCCCTAGGGCATCACATTCAGCTGGGGAAAGCGAGCGGGTTTCCCAAAGTGTTTGAAGAGTTCTCCAGCATTCAAAGAAACATGAAACTACTTATCCATCGATTTCAATTCATTCATCATTATCTTCATTATCCAAATGCTTATTCATGCATCATTCATTATACCGGTAATTTAACATAGCTATTGAAAATGGCCCATTGGTAGTGGATTTACCTATTGAAGATGGTGATTTTCTATAGCTATGTTAGTTTACCAGAGGGTATTCTTCATAATCCAAAAAAGAAACTACCATCTGGTTATTTAACATAGCCATGGAAAGATCCACCCATTTTTAAGAACGGTTAAACCATGGTAAACCATCTATTTCGATTAGGGCCATCGAAAAAACCATGGCGAACTGTCAGGATTTCCCATCGATCCCGCGCCTGAGATTTCGGCACCAATCCGGAGATCAGGAAGTGCCGCTGCGCCGTGTGGAGGGATGGAAACTCCTCAGCCACGCTTGCGCGCCACTGCGCTGGGAGTTTCCAAGTGCTGAAAGTCATCATTACCACGTTTTTTTTGGTGGGACATTTTTAGCATCCTGCAATAACAATAGATATTTGATATTATGTGATATTATTTCGTATTATTTGATATTCCGATATTTCATGTAAAGAGTTCAGAATGCTACTAATTATAATGTATATATGTTGTATGTTATTGCTCATGACTCGTTGAAATCTTAGATACTAACCGCTGACCTGCCATCAAAAGATCTGACCTTGTACAAAAAAGTGCCTATCCAGTTGGTTACCCCCCGTTATCATCATCAACTACCCTCTGGTAAACTAACATTTTGCTATGGAAAATCAATATTTTTAGTGGGTAAATCAACGAACTAAATGGCAATTTTCAATAGCGATACTACTAAGTGGCTATCTGGTTGGTGGTTTTAACCATCTTGAAAAATATTAGTCAATGGGAAGGATTATCCCATATATTATGGAAAATAAAAAATGTTCCAAACCACCAACCAGAATCATAATGTCCAGATTCATTGCTTAAAAAAAATGTTCTCTTTTTTGCTAATGGTGTCTCGGGAGTTTGCCGAAAAAACGAAACAACATGCAACATCAAAATTTCGTTAAAAACATGTCAAAGCCACTGGGAAACCCAATAATCAACCTACCGTTTGAGGATGGTTTATAGTGTTTATACAGCCAACATCAACCAACATCAACCAACCCATTTCTGGTGATTTGGGATGCTTTATGGCATTGGCTTTGCCACAAACTTTTCAAGCGTTCAAACGTCCCGGACGTGTTTCGCATCTGCCAAGGGACGCCAAAGGCGTCGATGAGTACCACATCGCCCTCAGCCAGAACGTCCAAATGGGGCGACAAAGGTCGCACGCCATCAACCTGGCAACGAGGTCTTTGTGGTTGGCTTCGCCACTATTGGGGGATGGGATTATTACCATAAACATATATATATATTACTATTATTATTGTTATTATTATATATATAATGGTTGGTATTCCCAATATATTCCGATAGTTATGGTTTAGTCATATATGATATACATATCACAGTCCAATTATATACACATTATTGCTAGTCTCCCATACAGTACCCTCTGGTAATTTAGCATAGCTATTGAACATACCCCATTTAGTTCGTTGATTTACCTATTCAAAATTGTGATTTCGCATACTTATGTCAGTTTACCAGAGGGTAAGTGGCTAATTACATGTAATTTCCATACTCTCTCTCTCTCTCTCTCTACATCGCCTTCTCGAAGAGTTCAGCTAAGCTAAGGGCGAGTGTAATTTCCATACTAGTTCGTAGTATTTGTTGTTATTGTGGGAAACCATCAATGATCCTACTAATGATAAGGTTTACCCCATGGTAAACTAACATTTTGCTATGAAAAATATTTTCATCGGAAAATCAACTATTTCTATGGCCATTTTTTCCATAGCAAACTGTATTACCAGAGGGTAACACATGGTTAATCACCATTAATCACCATTGTGAATTACCATTAATCACCATTTAAATGGAATGGTTGTAATCACCATTAATTACCATTAACACAATAGTTTAATATTTGAAATTTCTATGGTTTAATTATTAATTTACCATTAAACATAATTTATTTATAGGTTCCATTTAATGGTTTATTACAACCATAAATAAATGAAACCTCCAGTAGCCCTTCCAGGGTCCCATCCCATGTCGCCGCCTCGCGACGCCAGGCGGCCAAGGGGTAGCCGCGAAAGACGCGCACGCACCAGGGAACCGCCTTTTTTTTTGGTGGTTTCATGAAAATTTTCATGGTGGGAAAATGCTGGTTTAACCATGGTTTAACCATCGTTTAACCAGTTTCCATCAAAGACAATGGTGATCAACCATAGGAAAGGCACCAAGAAGAGAGAAACTATTTCACTGAGCTGATGGGTTTTATATCGTTTTATATGGTTTCATATGTTAACATGTCATGGGTTTTATTTATATGGGTCTAGTGGAGAAACCAAATGGTGCGTGGTTTTATCTGGTTGTATTGAAGCCTCACAAACTGGAGGTGGGGATTTGGCCTGCAATGTTTGAGCGTGTTAACAAACCCCTTGTATGATCTTGAACACCTACCAATTGGCTACTGGTTGGTGGTTTCAGCCCCTCTGAAAAATATTAGTCAGTTGGGATTACTATTCCCAATATATGGAAAACTAAAAAATGTTCCAAACCACCAACCAGGTTAAAGTTGGATGGATGGATGGAGCATGTTGATTCTTGGGGCACGTTCTTTTTTTGGGAGGGTTCCAGTAGGCCCATTCCCTTAATATCATATTGAATTCTCCTAGAAAAACCGAGGGAAAGTAAGATTTATCATGATTGACCCCTTTTGAAATTGCATTGTGGTCTGAAAAGCCCTAAATTTATCCCAAGTGTTGAAACCACCAACCGGTCCAAGTTGTGATTATAGTTAGCCATGACGGTTACATACATCTCACACGATACCTCCATGAATATATATATATATATATTAACGGGTCAAACAGTTTTGCTTAAACTTAGCAATGCCTGAAAATCACTACTAATTTCTAGTGTTCTCTCCCCCATTTTTCATATACCCCCCATGAATTCATCCCATACTGTGGGATCGTTGCGAAATCCCCCGGTGGGAACTTTCCCCTTTTTTTTAGAGTGGCGCGTTCCGGAACCCCAAGACTTGCCAACTGTAAATCGTGAAAAAACCCATGGGAGATCTTCAGGATCCGATTGATTGGAGGTACCTACCATATATAAGGCCTATTTTTCAGGGCTAAATTTCAGGGAATATCCCCAGAAAATATAGCCTTATATGGTACAGTACCTCCATCAATTGGATCCTGAAGTTCCGATTGAAAAAACTATGAAACAAGGCAAGGCATATGAGGAAATAAATTACCAATAACCAAAGTATTATGAAAACTATGGAAAACATATGAGCAATATTACCAATAACATCCAATCATATTATCCAATAACCATATCACAATGTTATTAAGTGATCCATATTATCATCATCCAATTGCCAATAAGCATATTGTCAACTGGATTATATCCAGTAATATGATCATATGATCTTGATACCAGTAACAATTACCATATTATCGAATAACAATATCTAGGTGGTGGTTTTAACCATCTTGAAAAATATGAAAGTCAATGGGAAGGATGACATCCCATATATTATGGAAAAAAATGCTTGAAACCACCAACCAGATAACTATATTATCCAATATTAAGTCCCATTAACCCATATTAAGTCCCTACTGTTGATGGTTTAATATCCATATTATTTTGAAACCACCAAACCACCAACCAGATATGTAGCATTGCTCATGACTCGTTGAAATTGTGGGATGATTCCCCGAATCCTAACTATGATGAAATAGTGAGGGAGAACAGTGAGGCCGTGATCAAATTTACCCAGAGATATACCATCTGGTTATGACTAACATAGCGATGGAAAATCACCATGTTCAATAGGTAAACCATCTATTTCTATGGGCCATTTTCCATGGCTATGTTAAAAAACCAGAGGGTATATATATATACTGGCTGGTTGGTGGTATACCTACCCCTCTGAAAAATATGAGTTCGTCAGTTGGGATGATTCTTTCCAACATATGGAAAAAATAAAAATAAAAAACAACCAGTATATATTAAACCATATGCCCAAACTAAAGCCTGAAAAGTTTTAAAAGGGGTGTACTGGAATGTCATTTACCAAAAAAAACACCATTTAATGGTTTATTACAAATGGAAAATCCCTTATAAATGGAGGTTTATAGCTGGGAAAGTCATCTATTTCTATGGGCCATGGCTTCCATGGCTATGTTAAATAATCAGAGGGTATCCCTTATCAGTTATATAAGTTATATTTTTCTTAGTTTATCAGTTATAAATACCATTATTGCCATTATAAATAGCTAATACCATATTTGTTGTTGTTGTTGGTATTACCATATTATCATCCCATGCTTGACCAACTGCTGCTCCGCTCCAGGGCACAAGGGTTTCGGGAGGCGGAATGCTATCGGAGGCTGTTGGGAAGCCCAAGAGCTCCTATCACTTTTCGACGGCCAGCTGACCCGGAAATGGATGAGTTCTGCGGGAAAATCTGCAGGAAACACATAGATTTTCCCATGAAATGTGGGAAAATTCCTGTAATTTTTCCGACCAATCCATTGAGACGTGGATGAAAAACAAGGGAAAATTAGATGGAAAGTGGAACACAAATCCTGAAGAACTGAAGGATTTTTTAGGGATTTAAGCTACTAGATTCGGGATTTTGCTGGAGAAAATAAGGACTTGAGGTATCAAACTGTTTTGGTTGCTGGGAATGAGATCAAAGCCTGCTGTTCATGGAGATCTTGCAGTCGATTTCATGGAGGATTTCATCGACATCTCAGGTACCAAGATTGGAGCTAATTACCACCATATATCAGGCCAAAGCTATGCCTATTCTGGTTGGTGGAATACCTACCCCTCTGAAAAATATTAGTCAATTGGAAGGATGACATCCCATATATTATGGAAAATAAAAGCCATGTTTGAAACCACCAACCAGTATTCTACCAGAAAATATGGTCCTTTCATGTAACTTCCTTTGAGGATGAGCGAGATTGACCGAGATGGGGCGGTCAGAAAATAGAATACCCCAATTTTCAGATGGGATTGTCATCATTGTCCCTATAAAAATTGCTATTTATTGCTACTGTATACTGTATACCCAAAAAAAAGCAGACAAACCCAGATGCTGTTGAGGATCTCGACATTTCACCAGTGTCTGTGTGAAGCATTTGATGGCCCTAACTGCCCAAATGGTAGGCTTTCCAAGCATATGCTGGGCAGAGCCATAAAGACCGGAAAGAACGCAGCCGCCATTGCAATTGTATGTACCGGTGCACGTCCAAATCAATCCAAATCATGGTGAACAATAAATGGCTTGCTCAAGTTAACGACCAGTCTTTGGGTCTGCTTAACCGGAGCCAAAACCTGCTAACTTGATTACCCTCTGGTAAACTAACATAACTATGGAAAATCACCATTTTAATGGAAAAATCCACTATAAATGGCAATTTTCAATTAGCTATGTTAGTTTACCGGAGGGTAACACATGGGAGCGTTCAAAAATAGGGCGTTGCCTGGCATCCCATCGTAAATCGGCTTTTTTTCCAACATGGGGACCCCATCAAAAAAAAGGTGGTGCCCGCCCGCCAATGCATCCCCTTATTCACATGGCTGGGAGAGCCCTTTGATTTAATGATTTTAATCGGTGTTTCATGGGAAATCATCGAACTATTCATGGCTCTAAATGAAGGTAACCCTACTTGTTGGTTATATGATATAACTAGGAGCACGGCCCCTAGATGGCCGTGTGTTTTTTTGATTCATGGGATGTTGTCGATGATATGTCGATGATATTGGATGTGCTCGTGCCAGTAGGATTTTTTGTTATTTTTGTGTCAAGGCAGCCAACGCCTTATTCACAGGCAGCAGAGTGAAAAGAGCCATTTCGCCTACACGAAACCTCCATTTTTGTGCTTTCTTCACAACCCCCAACTAATTGGTTTCCACAACTGTTCAGCCGTCTTTTGTTCACAGCAGCACTTCAAGTTCTTCCAAGAATCTTTTAGGATCTGGATCCTGCAAGCTTGATCGCCAACCCACACCCACAGCGTAGCATCTACTTCATGTGCAAGTTCACACCCCACCCCCCACCCCTACAAAACACCAAGGCCGTCTAGGGGCCGTGGTCCAACTATATACTCACCATAAACCCTAACATAATTATAAACTCACTGAGCAAACTAATTTTTCTCCATTAGGATTGACTTTTTTGGTGGCCACCCGGACCTGTGGAACGCTTCTCCTCCAAACTTCTTCCAACAACTTCACTGCCACCGGCAACCACCTCATCTGTCCACTTTCGATTGATGTGCTTTGATATTCAATTATATACTAATCAATCAACTATGGACTATGGGAATATGAATCAAAATTCAAAACAATTAACATTTAATCTATTTAATAAAGGTGAGACCTTCCAGTTGCCTTCGGGACAGGTAACCACTTCAGTTACCTATGAGACTAGGGAAAGGTTACCAGGAAGACTAGGAATTATTTGATTACAGATCATTTCGATTGATCAATAGGTCGAACAATATAGGTACATAAGATAAATAGGTAGACAAATCGATAAATAGATAGTAGATAGACAAAAATCGACAGAACTGAGCTTGAAAAATCGCACTCCTCATATGTATGTAGAAATATATATGTATATATTTATTTATTTACTTAATCTTATTTATTTATCTAGCAAAACATCGCCCAAACCCTGACACCAGGAAATATATACTGAATTGTACTGACATATACTATTACGTACATTCGCCATGGAAAGAATGGGGGGCAGGCATCGGACCATCAAATGCAGGGCTGACTCTAAAGTGCTGATGTTCCAATATCTTTGGTAGTTTTCCTCCTTTAAACATACACAAGGAATATGACCCACTATCTTTAGGCAAGTTTCCTTTTTTTTGGGGGGGGTCCACATGTATGCTAGTTTACCTCACCTGTCCTTCAATTTTTCCTTCGGTCACCAACCCATGGATTTTGACTCATTCTGTGAGCCGGGATGAACATGGATCGGTCAGTCCCTGAATTGAATGAATGGAACATGTACAGGAAAGCCCTCAAAAATGTTGATAGGAAATCACCGGTGCAGATTTTCCCTGTAATCAATTCATTGATTGTTGAGATACTCCTAAATCCACTGCTCAATCACCACTTTCTGTACCATCTGGCTATTTAACATAGCTATGGACAATCCATTATAAATGGAGGTCTTACTAGGAAAATCATCTATAAATGTGCCATTTTCCATAGCTATGTTAGTCATAACCAGATGGTAAATGGCAATAAATTCGTGAGTTAGTCTCCCATTTTCAGATGCGCCTATGACACGATGATTCTTGCTTGCGCAATCCTTGATGGTTAAACCACCATGAAACTCACCATTGAATCCCCATTTTTATCACCATGTTTGATGGTTGAATCAGTAGTTAAACCCCATAGGTTCATGCTTAAATTCCATTGTCTCATAATGTTTGATGGTTAAATCGGCCAAATTCTCATTTTCATCGTTAAAGCCCATCAAATCATACTGTGGATGGTTGCGAAATCCTGCACCACCTTGGATGGTTGTTCAACCCTATAAACAATGGGATAAGCCACCTATCAACTGGCGCAGGATTTCGCAACCTTCTACAGTCGTTTTGGTTTTAAAGGAAATCAATGGCTATTTACCACGATATATCATCTGGAGATATCATCAAAGCCATTCCTTTTCACGGTATCAAATCATATCTAAAAAATCAGTTAAATCATTAATGAATATTAATGATTAAAATCAGTTAAACCTATTTTCACCAGTTAAATCATTAACCCCATCAAATCCTTTTAACCCATCCATTTTCACTGGCTCTTCGCCCGGCTCTTCGCCCAGCAACGCTTTCATAGAGCCGCCGTTCGTGGCGTCGTCCACCCAGCGCTTGGTGGCAGTGAAGTCCTATGGATATGCCATCTGGAGATATTGATGTTAATGTTAATGGATGATGGATGTAATGGATGTTAATGGATGTTAATCCATGGATAATGGATGTTAATGGATTTGTGATGTAATATGGTAGTAACAAGAATTGGTTTTTATGATGTTTTTTTGGCTGAATTACTTTTTAATTTGTCCAAGTGATAATGATATTGAGTTGCTAAGACTTCTTTTCTGGCTGACTTGGAATAAATTCACCTGAAAATTGCCGGGGTACCCTCTGGTAAACTAACATAACTATGGAAAATCACCATTTTTAATAGATAAATCCACTATAAATCACCATTTTCAATAGCAAACTGTTTGTTTACCAGAGGGTATTTGTTGATATGGGAGAATTCACACAGAAAAACCCAAAACGATGCCGAAAGCCGTGCTGTTTTCGGTAATGTGAGCGGAAAGGACATGTTTTCCAGCTCTCCAAGCAGTTACTAATTGATGTTATAACTGGTTGGTGGTTGACCTACCCCTCTGAAAAATATGAAAGTCAAATGGGATTATTGTTCCCAACTGAATGGAAAACTAAAAAATGTTTGAAACCACCAACCAGATAACCTATTTGGAATAACTGAAGTGTGGGTCAAAATGGGTAAGGGGTAACGTGTTCTTTTGGGGGTATGACATGGAATAGCATCCTTATTTAGGAATCGGGTATAATCTACTTATAATGACCTACTTAAGACTTACAGCAACCACAGAATACTGAAAAGGGTGGTATAACCTACTTGATAAAACCTATGGAGGGATGGGGTGTAATGGTAAAAGGTAGGGGAGTACAACCTACTTAAAGACTTATAAGGGGATCTATAAACTCATAACCAACACAATCGATCACAACCAGGGGGCACGAATAGGCCCACAAACTGTATCATTCCAGTCTTTAGCCTTAAGATGTCTTAAGCCCTCTATGTTTTAGTATATCTGAGCCATGCCGTCAAGGAACCCCAATTTGAGACCAATGCCATTGAAAAAAATGAGAACATCTAGGTCTTCCAAAACTCAGCAAACTGTGGTTCCATGGTGCTTTTCCAAGAAAATAGGGAATAGAACCAGCACCTGCCAGAACTCGGATAGCGGCACGGATCAACCATGTACCGGACATCGTGGGCACTGCCAAAACATGGCAAACAACAAAATTTGTAGAAAGCAAATTCTAAACTGCCCAGCTATGTGAAAAAATCTTGGGAACGAGACCCAAGTCATTTCAAGAAATTGTGGAAGTTTCAAACAGTGACCCGAAAAATATACGGCGGTAAATACCTGGGACTTCATTGAACAAGGTACAACTTGCCCCCGACAGCAATTGAAATGAACCCTGACAAGTCCGGGTGACGCCAAGATCCTCATAAAAAAAGGATACCCTCTGGTAAACATACAAAAAACTATGGAAAATCACCATGTTCAATGGGTAAATCCACTATTTCTATGGCCATTTTCAATAGCTATTTCGACATAACCAGAAGGTATGTTTCAAGAACTACTTTGTGGACAACAAACAAAGCTGGACCCAGAATGAAATGCAAAAGGGACAACCCCAACCAAAGTTGCAATGGCTTTCCTGGAAATATACCCCCTGGTTATTTAACATAGCCATGGAAAATGGTCCATTTATAGATGGTTTACCTATTAAAAATCACCATTTTCAATAGGTAAACCATCTATAAATAGGCGGCTATTTTCCATGGCTATGTAACAAATAACCAGAGGGTAACACTGACATACACTGACCAAGACAAATCAACCGTGTTCCTTGGCCAAACCTGAGAACGTTGTCTTTCAATTTCCCAAACCTTGGCCAATCTTGGACACCCTTCCCACAAAAACAAAAAAAACAAGTTTAGCTGCTTTTTGTATATCATTAAATGGAACGAATAATGTTAGTACAGCAAACTTCACCCACCCATATTCTGGTGTATACCGCCCAATCATTGCAAAATAGGGCATGATATGGCATGATTTACTATTGCTTTATCACCATTAAAGGATTAAACTAATCCCATCACCCTAATTTTTTCAACACCCCATTTCTATGGTCAAAAGAATGTGGGAATTCCCTACATCCACCATGGTTTCTACCCTCTGGTAATTTAACATAGCTATTGAAAATGACCATTTAAATAGTGGATTTGCCCATTAAAAATTGTGATTTTCCATAGTTTTTTGTATGTTTACCGGAGGGTACCCCGGCGATTTTCAGGTGAATTTATTCCAAGTCAGCCAGAAAAGAAGTCTTAGTAACTCAATATCATTATCACTTGGACAAATTAAAAAGTAATTCAGCCAAAAAAACGGGGGAAGGGATGACCGTTTCGCTTTCCCCCGGTTTCCCACGGGAAGTCCTCGCATCACGAAGACACCCGGATAGCGTCGCATGGCACAAACACCTGCCGTAGAACATCCTCGGCGAGGGACGACGATTTTTTTTCCATGGGAAAATGTGAATATTGTATGATACCATAGGAAAACCATAGGAAAACCATAGGAAAATGGGAAAATCATAGGAAAACCATAGGAAAATGTTGGTTTACCCTTTGAATAGCGTATGTCAATGGATTGGTTTAAGGGAAAATCTTAACCGGAAACCCATGGGTTTTTACCATCAAATATAGGGCTTTCCGGTTAAAATGTTCCCATCATCCAATTCTATGAGTATGATACCCGGCCTGGTAAACGTTGACATAGCGAACTGGAAAATGGCAATTTAGTTCGTTGATTTGCCCATGAATAGCATGGTGATGTTCCATAGTTTTGTGTATGTTTACCAGAGGGTACATACATATTGAACTATGAAATGCATACATATTAGACATATCTAAATAAAAAGACTATTGCATAACATGTATGTATTTTATGTATATACAATATCATTATACTAATTTGTATGTATATTAATAACTATACGGCATTGTTCTATAAATATGTATGTATACGTCTCTATATCATACATAATAATATCAATATACTATATACAAGTAAATATCAAGTAAATCAACTATTTTTCTAAGATATGGATATGGACAAGATTATATATTCATGGAAAAAACATATACATATAACCATGAGATTTCGGTGTTTTTCGCTATGCCATCTGGGGTTATCGCGGGGAAAACCAATGTGAAATGGGTCGGGGAAACCAATGATTTGGCTGAAAATGGCTGAAATATTGGTCAATTTATGGTAAAACCAGAAGAAATGTGGCGCAAGAGTACTTCGGCGACATGAAAGAAGATTATGGTTGACTGATCCGGTCAGGAAGCAAAAGGTTTGATGCCAAATCTTCAGAAATCTGCTCATCTACTGCAAGCCAGCTGTCAAAATTAATGCCTGAACCACTATGAACTCAAATCGACATCAATTGCGAAATTCCAGGAGAAACTGTCTGAAGCTCTGTGAAAATATGAACATGAAAATGCACTGAAAAGTCCTTCAAAAAATGCATGAAAGGAATGCAAACACATGAAAACCTTGGGATGTGTTTCTGGTATCTTGTGTCAATTCACTGCCTTGAGGGAAAAAATCTACAGGAAACCCCTATATTTGGTGGTAAAAAAATGATGGTTTCCTGTAGATTTTCCCTTTAACCAATCCATTGATTGTGAAGATTCCTGGAGCCCAGGTCTGATCACACAGACTCCGAGTGCTATGAGAGGAGGCAAGAAGAGAAGGACCCGCTGACACAAAACCGACCTTGATAGGTGGGGAATCAGAAATCCATTTCGGTGTGGTTTCCCATACAATCCCTTCCCCAATACTAATATTTATATATATACTACATATATATATGTATATATATACTGGTTGGTGGTTTCAACCCCTCTGAAAAATATTAGTCAGTTGGGATGATTATTCCCAATATATGGAAAAATAAAAAATGTTCCAAACCACCAGCCAGAAATAGATGTTACCCTCTGGTAATGACTAACATAGCTATAGAAAATCACCATTTTTAATAGGTAAACCATCTATTTCTACGGGCCATGGCTTCCATAGCAAACTGTCAACGTTTACCAGGCCGGGTCAACCCATTTGCAGCGAAGTCTTCCACTTAGGTCCCCATTCACCGGATTCTTCCCAAGAATTCAGCATCCTCGAAGCCCCGATATGCATCCCAGTTGGTATGCAGTGAGCCACCTCGGCATACTCCAGTTATAAATAGAATGTTTACCCTCTGGTAATTTAACATAGCTATTGAAAATGACCATTTATAGTGGATTTACCCATTAAAAATGGTGATGTTCCATGGTTATGTTAGTTTACCAGAGGGTACCCCCACGTCTATCTCTGTGGATTTTGAACTTGCGAACTGGGCCCCCCAATCTTGTATAATTGCAACGCAAATCCCGGACCACAAAGTCCCTCCGCAAAATAATGATAGGCTATTCCAATTCAAACGGTACCCTCCATATTGGCAAACTGAGCGTTGACTCAGGATTGACATGACCACGCATGACCATGCCCTTCCACCCTTCCACCCTTCCACCAGCTGAGTGACGTGCAGTGATCAAATCTTCTGCTTCCAAAACCCAGTCGTCCAAGTCAGAACCTTCAGCTGTTAGAGTTGTCCTCTGCTGTTTTTGTTGGTGTAGCAGGGAATGGGAACTTGAAGCCATTAATGCACTTGAATATCCAGAGTAGGACTCGCGTTTGTGGTTAGTTCAAGAAAGTGAATTCAGTAGGGAAGGGTTAGTCCACTTACACAACGTCACTGGGGTACCCACTAAAAATGGGGTGAAGCACCAAGTTGGAATGGTGATGTTTGAGGGTCTTCAAAAACAACCTACGAGGAGCTCCAACCAGTCGTTTCAGCCAGAAAATTTCCAAGTATTGTTAATCATTGAAAATCTTAGATACCTGGCAAAAAATTAACTTTTTTGCTGGTTAGTAGATAATCCCATTAATACCAAAAGACTAAAGGATTAACGTATCCATGTAAGATTGACCTAGTAATGAGGTACCCTCTGGTTATTTAACATAGCCATGGAAGCCATGGCCCATAGAAATAGATGATTTTCCCAGCTAGAAACCTCCATTGATAAGGGATTTTCCATGGCTATGTTAAATAACCAGATGGTAAACCCAATAATAAGCCATCCCCATTTAAGGCTTCTGATTAGGTATACCTCTAGCAATGGGATGCAAAATGACCTCCAAATGATTGTTTCCTGGGATTGCGTATTTTTGAGTTTGCCCATATGAAGCCATAGGCACCACGGCTTACCTGTTCACCACGGTTTTTTTGGGCTACATTGGCTACATCCAGTTATGGAGTATTTGCAAATGGGTTTGATTGAAAATGGTGGGTAACCCTAAATGGCCAGTTTATATAAAGGAACAAAAATGATAAATAATGTTAAATAATGGTATGTAAGACAAAGCCCAACAAGTAAGCACAACAAAAATAGAACAATGATTTCCCACTATTTCATGTAGTAACCCCTTCCCTTGATATTAAACACCCCCCAGAAACCATGGTTTAGTAGGGGGTTACATTTATTTAGGACCATTTGTGTAGTGGTGTTCTATGTTAAGGAGACTGGATTGTTTTCATAGTAATGTGGTAAACCCAATAATAAATCATCCCAAAATCATTAAAGATGGGTGGCAGGTCTATTATTATCCCCAAATGTTGGGTTATGGCATTGGGTTTACCACATCATTTGACTATTATTTGACTTACTCTTATTGCTATAATAATTAGGTTTATTATAGTAGGTGTATTAAGTGTATTACTCTTACCGTCTGGTAAATTAACATAGACTCTGAAAACACCAATTGTTTAGTGGAAACTAGTCTTTCAACCCTTGTCTGCCAGGGTCTATGTTAATTTACTGGGGGGTAAACTTATTTGACTTTTCTATTTTTTGGGGGGTTACCCTCTGGTAAACGTTTACATTAACTATGGAAAATCAGCATTTTTCATGGGAAAATTCACTATTTCTATGGCCATTTTCAATAGCTATGTTAAATTACCCTATTAAACCCTATTAAATCCCATTAAATCCCCATTAAATCCCCATGTTTACCAGAGGCTTCTCGTTGGTTTTTTTGGGGTTATAAATTCCCAAGGATTCCGACCTCTCTGTCCTGACATCGTTGGACGAATTCACACTGCCATTGGATCTACGAGACTTCTGCAGCCTGACCACGGGACACCGAGATGACATGGGAAAAATGGTTCCCAAACTGAAATTGGAGATACCCTCTGGTAATTTGTTACATAGCTATTGAAAATTATTGAAAATGGCCATAGAAATAGTGGATTTACCCATTGAAAATGGTGATTTTCCATAGCTATGTTAGTTTACCAGAGGGTACCCTCCAGCAAACTAACATAGCTACAGACTTGTCACATTTATATATGATTTATCATTTATCTTTTAAAAAGGTGATTTTTCATAGCGAACTATTAGTTTACCAGAGAGTAGACCCTCCGGTCATCAAACCGCACCAAAAATTGGCATTTGATGTTCAAATGCCAGGTTTTTGTTTGTGACGTTTTACTCTGTGGTCTCTGGATTGATTTAGTGACAGAAAAATAGAGGAACCCAAAAAACAATCCAACGAATACAGTGCTGTTCTGACAAGGCTTCAAAAAAGTCCTGAAACCTTAGCAAAAGTGTCAAAACACAAAAAAAAGACACGCTTCAAACATTTTTCAACAAAGAAATGAAGACTCATGAGCAAAAATATGTAGAATATAGATATCATCCAAACATATCCATCTACAGTCTACTTCAATATAGGGATCTCTTCCCGCGGCAGCGGCCCAACAGCGCCTGGAGAGGCGTTGGATGGCGACGCCTGGGAGGTTCATGAAGCCCGCAGAGCGCACCGTGTGACCGCAGACGAAGGAACCCATCAGCACCACGAAGTCTAATTCCTGCGAGGCGAAAAGGCCGGGGCACTTGGGGCTGCAGGGGGTGATCTATATCTATCCTTGCTGCCCCGAAAAAAGGGTGATGTTTCATGGGATTTGATGAGGATATCATGAAAGATATATATATAATCTACTTGGGGGTGCAGGGGTGGTCTTTATGGATATAAACATGGGATTATAGCCACCATGAGTTGGGTTTTGGGGCACAACGATGGTTATATATCCGGTTGATTCTGATTATACCTATGGCTGGTGGGAACTGATGGGTTAAAGTGTGATATAGCTGGAACATACTAAATGGGATAACCAATTTATAGGGGTCACAATACTGGTCAGTCTTTAGAGAAGTACTGATTCATGTTGGTACAACAATAATAAACCATACTCCATATCACCATAAATAGGTGGTATGGTTACTATTCCCAAATGGATGGTTTATGGCATTGTTTTTCCCACATTATATCTGATTATAATTGGAACATATCATGGGACCATGATCGGGATAGAGATCTGCTTGGTTTTCAGGAAACTCACGGGGATAGAAGCAGTCTACCAGCCTGTGGCAAACCCCAATCATAAACCACCCATAAAAAGGTTGATTTTGGAGATTGTTTATTGGGTTTACCATTTTTAAGGATATCAACGTTCGTTGCGGGTCTTGGAACTGCTCAACTTGTGGATTCACCCATGGAAAACCCACAGCAATGGTATATTTTGTAATGGGGGAAATAGGGGGTTGCGAACAAAACAATGCAGTTTTTTTAGAGTGATCCCGTGACCTGCACAAAAATTCAAACATCGGGATCTGGGCAAATATAGTCAAACAGGCCGCGTATACTGTTCATAGCATATATATATATATATATACATACAGTATACACACAGTATTCTTATATATATATATATGTGTAAATACAATTCCTTGCGGTTTTAACATCCATAATTAGTGATAAATCCCCGAAAATGAGAGTATCATCTGAGCAAATAGAGAACCATATAGAATTTTACGGTATATGACGGGATGTAAAAACGGTAGGTGTCAATAATAGGAAGAAACCCATGACATCTTCATTGAAAGGGGTGTGCCTCCAAACACCAACACTTTGTGCAGCCAAGAGACATAGTGAAGCTGGTCCTTGACATGTTGGTTCAAATCACTTCGAAGGGTGGGGAAATCATCCGAAAACCTGTACCAGTCGTTGGGTAATAGTTTTGGTGGTAGTAGTAGTAGTAGTAGCAGTAGTAGTAGCAGTAGTAGTAGTAGTAGGAGTAGGAGTAGGAGTAGGAGTAGCAGTAGAGTAGTAGTAGTAGTCGTAGTAGTCGTAGTAGTCGTAGTAGTCGTAGTAGAAAGAGTAGAAAGAGTAGAAAGAGTAGAAAGAGTAGTAGTAAGAGTAGTAGTAAGAGTAGGAGTAGCAGTAGCTAGGTAGCTAGGTAGCTAGGTAGCTAGGTAGCTAGGTAGCTAGGTAGCTAGGTAGCTAGGTAGCAAGGTAGCTAGGAAGCTAGGTAGCTAGGTAGCTAGGTAGCTAGGTAGCTAGTTAGTTAGTTAGTTAGATAATTGATAATGATTAGTTGCTAGTAGTTAACATTAGCTGGGAAACAAAAGTGATAACAAAATAATCACTGATCGGTGTCATCAAACGTGGGCCACTGGGAAATATCTGACCGGAGCATCATCCCCGTGAGCACCTGGTGACTAAGCCCATTTAATAAGTTCCAACTAGGGTTATCCCATTTATAATATCAACCCCGGATTAATAAACCATGGTTTATGAATTAGGGGGGTACTCCTCCAACAGTCATTTCATCTAATACTTAAATGGTACCCTCCCAATGAAACTAATTAAACAGCCGTTTGGGGTTTACTAATCCAGGATTGACATTAACTGTTTTTCTAACTCCACTAACTGAGCAGATCAGAGCAGTTACCATCTGGTTATTTAACATAGCCATGGAAGCCATGGCCCACAGAAATAGATGATTTTCCCAGCTAGAAACCTCCATTTATAAGGGATTTTTCCATGGCTATGTTAGTCATAACCAGAGGGTATAACTCATGAAACCAATATCTCACCCCAAAGAAAAATGGCAAAATCAACCAGGAGCCATCGATGTATCCGCCCGTGACAAGATTAGGCTTAGGGTGTTTGTGCACCTCGCTAACGCTGGGAAATCACCTTTTTATTGCCATCTGGAAATTTACTCCCTGATGAAGTAACATAACTATGGAAAATCATCACCATTTTCAATAGCAAACTGTTTGTTTACCAGGGGATATCAAATTGCTGATGGTTTGAATCCAGAGGCAAGTTGGTTCACCATGAAATTTCTTTGGTTGAAAACACAGCCTTTCCTGTACCACAAGCAGGTTTCAGTGCTTCCATGAGCAGTGTTTCTCAATTTCCTTTCGGATAAATATCTTCCATGTTGTTTGGAATATATGATCATGAGGTTAGTAACATTGTTAATATCATTGAAATGGCTGATTATCAGTATCAGACTGTTATTACTGATAATGAAGGTTATTGATATTTCCTAATTATTCAATATTATCAAAGGGTTAGTGCCATTTTTAGTCATGATTACCTTTAAAATATATTAGTATTATTATTCATTGGGTTAGTACCATTGTATATCCATTGTTAGTAATTGCTAATATTGGAAATGGTAATATCCTTAGGAATAACTAACCATTACTTATAATATCAGTACTAATACTAGTACTGCTACTTATTACTGATTAATTAACGTTTTTTTTACCATATTAATAGTTCCCAATATGAATCATCATTAATAATCATTCTTTGTTCCTAATATTAGTACTATTAATGACTATTTACCTAATAATATCAGTAATATAATATAGGTGAATACAAAAAGGTTAGTACCGTAATCATTTACCTAATATGCATAATCATTCATAATCACTATTTATTCCTATTGTTTACCATAATCATTTGCCTAATCTGGTTGGTGGTTGCAACCCCCCTGAAAATATAAAAGTCAGATTGGATCATCATCCCAACTATTGGGGAAAATAAAATTCATGTTCCAAACCACCAATCAGTTGTGTTGATTATGTTGGGAAACTCTTAGTAGCTCATTAGATCCTCTTTGGCTCCCCATGGCCTTTCGTCATAGGCATGATGGATATCCCTAGCCCGACGAAATATCAGTTCATGTTGGTAAATGTTAGTAAAGCCATAGCAAACCATCCCTAAATCAACCCATATTAAGTCCCTATTGTTGATGGTTTAATATCCATATTATCAAATAACCATATCAACCATATTAGTCATTATGAACCATAGTTATGTTACATATAACATCATATAACCATATATAGTTACACCATATATCATTGCCAATCTTAGATACCTGGCAATTTTTTTGCCGGTTAGTAGGTAATCCCATTAATACCAAAAGACTATAGCGGATTAAAGTATCTATGTAAGATTGACCTAGTTAACCATTAATATACACCCTTTATAGTGAGTTTTCCCATTAAAAATGGTGATTTTCCATAGCTACGTTAAATTACCAGAGGGTACACCATGGTTAATCATGGTACTAACCTTTTTTCACCCGACGAAATATGCTTCCAGCGGCAGAATTGTTCGGCTTCTCCTCGGACTCGCCCTGACGGACACAACACACGGTAAATATGTATATATATATATACCTTCCGGTAATTTAACAGTTTGCTATTGAAAATGGTGACTTATAGTGGATTTACCTATTAAAAATTGTCATTCATAGTGGATTCATAGTGGATTTACCTATTCAAAATGGTGATTTTTGATAGTTATGTTAGTTTACCAGAGGGTTTATATGATATCATAGAATCATGGGATATCATGGGATAATAGTGGCAACGTAATGGGATTCAAAAAAGGCGATGTTTTATGGGATTCCAATGGGGATATGATGGATTCTAATGTATTTTAATGGGTGTTTAATGGGGTATCATGGGGATATTTTATGGGACATAATGAGCCCAATCTTAGATACTCACCGACAACAATTCGATGCTTAGCTGACTAGTAAATATGGATGAGGCTGAAAAATGTTCAGGCCTGTTCTAGTAAATCCATGTTCGGAAAAGGTTAAAGTACCAGCTCTTCCGCCACGTTTTGCCTAGAAATGTTGGCTTGATTGATTTCGGAACAATACCGAGTCCAGATTCCATCTCAGACAAATCATGCTGACTTCAACTCCGGAAAAGGAAACAAACGAGAAACATGCTTAGGGCAAACGTCCCAAAAAGATTGGAAATTCATACATTTGAAACCACCAATCAGAAAGCCATCAGTCAATATCTGGTTACACCCCCACACACGCACATACACAGACACAAATACATATATATATATACATATGTTAGTAAATTCCCCATTGATTAAGGCTGGTAAACTACCAATTTCATACCAGTAGATATCGTGATTAAACCACCACATTTCAAAAAAAAAACTAGATGGGTAAACCATGTGAAAAACCGCCAAAAAAAACGCTAAAGCCAATGTTATTCACCAACCCATCACCATGACTGGGGATTGTTGATAACAAGCTGGGGGAAAAAAACCAGGGCCCGCCACATTGACGATTGGAATCCCCATGATTTTACCAATTCACGAGATGTCATGGCTTTTTAGCACCATGGTATACAGGTTGGTGGTAGACTCATAGGGCTCATAGTCACTTGGGATGATGGGAAATCATATGGGACATCCGCAACGCCAAGCGGCTGGGCTTCTTTACCAAGCTGAAATTGGTATCCTACTGGTTGGTGGTTTTAACCATCCAGTTGGTATAGGTCCTATAACGGTTAGTTAGTCCCCCAAACAGTTGCTAGGTGGTGGTACAATAACCATCTTGAAAAATGATGGAGTTCGTCAATGGGAAGGATGACATGCCCATATATGAAATGGAAAATATTCAAGTCATGTTTGAAACCACCAACCAGATATTATAACTGATGCTGGTTGGTGGTTGACCTACCCCTCTGAAAAATATGAGTTCGTCAGTTGGGATGATGAAATTCCCAACTGAATGGAAAAATAAAATTCATGTTCCAAACCACAAGCAGTATATGATTTTACCATATGGAGGTTTCCTAAGTCATAGGGCTACCTCCAGTCATCCAGCTATTGAGGATGGGATTTTCCACTTCACCCTCCAGTCAATGGGAATTTCAGGATCCGATTGATTGGAGGCACCTACCATATATAAGGCCTATATAAGGCCTATTTTTCAGGCCTATGTAAGGGAATATCCCAACAAAATATGGCCAAACATATGGTACTAACGTACCTCCATTTTAGGATCCTGAAATTCCCATTGATCCAGCGGTTTCAAGGGGTACCCCCATGGCTATGGAAACCAATACACGGTCAACCACTGTGTGCAACACAGTCACCTCGTCCGCGAGGCGGTGTGTCTGTTGTGTCTGGCGGCCGGTGAATCATTAAGTTTTTACCAACCAGATGTGGGAATAGTAACCATACCACCTATTTGTGGTGATTTGGACTATGGTTTATGATTGTTTTGCCCACATTAATCACCATTTTTATGGGTGGTATAAACCATCAAGAATGGGGTAAAACAATAGCAAGTTACAACCTATCCATAGGAAAACCATGGGAAAATACTGGGAAATACTGGAAATATCATCTATAAATGGAAATCATGTGGGTAAAACAATGTCATTTTTACCACCCAACAATGGGAATGGTAACTTTATACCACCTATATATTTATGGTGATGACTGGGGGATGGTTTATGGCATTGTTTTACCCACATTATAACCATAATCATAATATCATAATCAGAATCATTGAAGTTAATGGCATAATCAGAATGATATTATTCGTGATTCACTTCAATCATTATGGTTACCCTCTGGTAAACATACAAAAAGCTATTGAAAATGGTCATAGAAATAGTTGGTTTACCCATGAAAATATGAATGAACCACGTGCCAAATGTGGTCAAACGAAATGCACTTGCAATGCAATCAGCAAGTCGGCATGTTTTGCGCGGCAAAACGGTTGATGCAAATGGCTCTGGATCCTTGAGGAGCCAACGGAAATCATGGACAGGATGGATCAATGCTCAGAAGCAACACCAAAATCACACTGCCATATTTTCTTTTGATCCATCTACGTCCCTAAGCTGTATGGTGCTACGCTGAAGCCACTGAATCAATTCAAACATCAGGGCTTTGCTAATCTTCGTGAGGCCGTCTGCCCGTTGAAGATGGGTCGGTACCCAATGTACAGTTCTATGATCTATCAGCTCTTGAATCGATCTAACATTCACCAAGCTTCGCTTGTCTTGGATGCTTGGGTTCGGCGAAGCTACAGTGTCATACAGGCTTTTGCAGTCTGTGACAAGAAGTGTTGTGAGACGTTTACCTACTCTATGAGCTGGGATGCCGAAAATGAGTTCTCCCAGCATGTAGCTCAAAAACGCAAGCCGATCGGTCGCAGTGTCAGCGCTCACTGCTTCAGCTGCCAGAGTAGAACGGCAAACTCTCTTGCTTCTGCCAGTCTTCCAGTCTGCAATGGCTCCAATTGAAGTGCACTCAGTGACATTCGCAGAGGTCAACATGATGATCTGTCCATGTTGGCTGGCAGATCCCTGTGCGTTCGCCCAGGATGCATCACTGTACCCAACAATCACAGCGCTCTGATCAATGGGGACAGCCCGGATGCAAATGCCAAGTTCTGCAGTTGACTTCGCAAAGTCCAATGTCTGGTTGAGGGCATCCAGATCAGCATAGGTCGTCTCGGACCCACGATTTGACAAGGAAACTGCGCTGGCTAAGTCAAGCCTGCATTGTCCTGCCAACCATTGAAGACATCCGCTCACTGACCGAAACTCAGGCCAATGCTCATCAGAGATCTTCGTACTCATCTTACCTTTCGGAATTTTCATGCCCTTGTCCAGACTGTTGATGAATGTAGTCTGAGTGATCTTGACATAGAGCTCGTTCTTCTCATCATGACATATATGGATCTCTTTGCCCTTGAACGTGAGAGGTGCTCCGGGCTGCGCATACTGCTGGGATCCCCATTTGAAGCTGGCTTGGAACTTCTCAAAGGGGAAGCTGGAGTTGTGAGTGAGCAGAAAATCATCCACATAGCAGATCAGCAAAGCGCAAGGTGCAGGAGCGTTGTGTGGATCAGGGAACCAAAACAACATTTTGTCAAAAGAATGACAAATAAAGCCTATTGCTTCCAATCTGCGGCTCACTTCAACAGCCCAAGTATATGGGGCATTTGAAAGTCCATATATATTTCCAGTTATCTCATACAGCTGACTTTTGAAAACTTTGGCTCTTTCGACTATGGGATCCCTTGGAGGTTTCAGATACAGCTTGCCTGCTCGTTCTGACCAATCTGGATCCCCTTGGAGAAACGCAGTGGAGGCGTCTCCGCACCAAAGAAGCCAAACATCTCGACTTCCAAAAGCCTTTGAATTGGCGCCAGAAACAAAGATGATGTACACCAACATCTCTGAAGTCCTCGTTGGAGTTGGAGCCTGTCTCGTCAAGTTGACTAGGTCAGGGTCTTGGTTGCCACGACAGACTATTCTGGTCTTGGCCTTCAGCGGTGGAACATTCTTGTTCTTGTCCCGATAGCATCCCCTGGAAGTGATGATGCGCTTCTTCAACTTCGGGTCATTCAGGATGCGCCGAGCTTCATCTTCAGGAATCGGCTGCAGGGACTTCCAAGTGGTGAAGCTGTTTGCCTCCTTGATGGTGGCTTCGACGAAGGCTTGGATATAGTCGTCAGACTGCTGCATGATTTCTCGCCAGCTAAGTTCTTTCTCCTGAGCCTTTTGCTCTTTCCTGGTTTTTCTAGGCATGCCTTTCGACATGTCATCAAACTCTTCATCTGACTCTGAAAGTGTCGTTTCAAAGTCGTCTTCTTTCTCCGCAAGCTCGTTGACATAGGCAGTGATGAAGGTCTTGGAAGAGCTTGGGAGGCAATTGTCAGGGCTGCCATCCCATCCAGGCTCAAAGGAGTTGAGCTCACGATCGCTCGCAAAGAAGCTGGGAGCTTGTTTCGCACCAACATGCCATAGTTCCGTCAGGGTGCTCAACTCTGATCCAAAGTGATGGGCCTCTTCATCGTCATTGTCGTTGAAGGGACCTTCAAAAATGATGTCGCCCGATGTGGCGTCCAAAGTGCGCCTCCATTTCACTGAAGACATGGGTGGTCCAGTGGACATTGTCTTCTTGGGCGATTTGGTGAGCAAATCAAGCCTTGCCCAGCAGCGTAAGCCTTGAAGAGGTGGCCCATAGAAGCTGCGGTAGTTGTAGAGCTCGTAGGACCTCTGTGCAACTCTTCTGGCTCGTGTGAGTTGTGCTGCCAGGGTTTCAAATGGCCGCTTCAAGACTGATGTTGCTTCAATTTGATCCTGATAGGGATCCTGTGCTGCTTGCTGTGCATCTTCCATCAGTTCTGGCGGAGTCCGTGGAACAAATTGTCCCGGATCATCCAAATCATCTGTGAGATCCACAACTGGCTGAATGTTGGGATCAGTTTGTTGTTTTGCTGTATGTATGGATGGGTGTAGATGTGGCTGTGGTAGAGGTGGCATGGCTGCTGTGCTCTGTGTGTATGGTGCCGCATCTGTGGATGCTCTGGCGGTGTTGGCGTGTCTGTCAGGTGTGTGTAAGTTCTGCTTGTCTGCTTTGTATCCTGTGTCTTGTCTGAGTCGGTGTTCTTGATCGAATTCTTCTGGATGGCGTATGGGGAACTGGTGTTCCAGGTGCTGGCTCGTTGAAAATGTTCTGTGTTTGTTGTATGTTTTGATGTAAATGGATTGATGGTCTTGATGATGGTTGCTGTGGTGGTTGTGGAGGTTGAATCTCAATAGGCTGGTTGCTGACTTGAAGATTGGACGTAGATGGGGCTTCGACTGCTTCAAGCTGAGGAGCAATTGGCGCATTCACTTCTGGGTACTCAAAGTCCAAGTCCAATTCCCCAGAAGCTTCAGCGACTTGGTCAGGTGGATGAACTTCTTCTGGAAGGGTCTCGTCAGTCCACAAATCTGACCTGATGTTGTCCTCCGCATTCTTGAGAGCTTGAAGATCTTGACGATCAGGGACATAGTCCTCATAGCCGAAGACATCTCGAACTTGGGTGTCAGCAACTTTGACAGTATGACTGCCACTTTGAAGCCACAGAGTTTTGCCATCTGGATCTTTTCCCAAATACCGCGCAATGCGGTATCCTCCACGTTTGCGATGAGAACGTGTAGTCCATCGCCAGTATGCCAAGAGGGATCCTGGCTGGGGCTCAAGCTGCAGCTGCTGTGAAGTTTTGCGAAGCAATGCCCTTCTCAAAGTCGAAGATGCTGAGGCCTCTGCAATTGCTTTCAACGCTTCGCATCTCATCAGGGCAGATTGCTGCTGAGCCTCAGAGCGAGACGAGCCAGAAATCAAAGCCCGAGGGTCGCTCAAAAGGTCTGTGCCAACTCTTGGGATCTTTCCAAAGGCTGCGATGTATGGTGGTCGCCCAGATGACCAAGTGGCTGAGTTCTTGGCCTGAAGTGCTGAAACAATGGCCAAGTCAATGTCATCCGCATCGGTGCAAGGCATGGAGTCCACGATGCGCTCCAGGAGCATTCTAAGCGTTCCATTGTGACGCTCGATCACGCCCAGCTTGTAGTGAGCTTCTCCTGGGATGACATCTAGATAGGTGCCACCTGCGCTCATCTTTTCGTCAAACTCAGCTTTGAAGGCGCCATCATCATCAACTGCAAGCCTCAAAGGAAATCCAAAATTCTGAAGCCAGCAAAGTCGAAGTGCATCAAAAACCTCAGATGGATTCCTGGAAGTCAACCTTGTGGCAGCATGCAAATGAGTTGCTTCGCAAATCACCCCAAGAACCGGATGGTTCTTGGAAGTCAAATCCCTCAGGTAGAAGATGTCCGCCTGGAGGTTGTCAGCAAATTGCCCAATGCACTGTGGAGGTGCCGCTGCTGGGTTTGGTCGAAGTGGAGCTCGCGAGCGAGCGCAAGCTGCACATTGCATATTTTTGATGCATTTGATCACCTGGTCGCTGGTGATGCCATTCAAAGCCAGCAGCTTCAGCATCTCTGGACCTGGAAGATGTCCAAGGTTCTTGTGCATTCTCGACACCGACACCTTGATGGATCTGTCGATGCCTGTGGAGTTGGGAAAAGTGATTTCATCATGGTAAATCTCGGAGTTCTGAATTGGTTGTGAAGCTTGAGATGGCTGAAAGTTGCCTGCCTCATCCACAGGAACTCCATCTCGCATCATGGCCTCTTCGGCTGGGATACCTTGTTCCTCATCAATCTCATTGGGGTACCCATACCAGAAGATGCCCAACTCAACAGGTGCCTTGAAGCGTGAACGTGGGAATCTGAGTTCAGTCAAGTCCTCAGTGATGACATCAACTTCAGGATTGTCCACGTACCTGAGAGCTGCGCCTCGATGGGTGTATGGAAAATGCAATGGATGTCGATTCACCAAAGGTCTTCGAGCGACCTGCACCCGAGTGAGCTGCCATGGAAGCATTGCTTGAACTTGAGCATATAGTGGTTCGTGAGGTTGGATGATGGCATCTCGCGAAGTCAAAAAGTCCATATGCTGAGATGCCAACTCCATCACGTTCCTCCAGCTCTGTTGGTCATCCACGGGCGTGGAAAAACTAGCCAGGACTTGCTTGGGCTGAAAACGGCATGGGTTTCTCAACTGAGCCACCTTCTTGATGCCCTTGAGAATTGCCTGGACTAGACCCATGGGATAATGTTGTGACAAGGTAACCTCTTTGCCTTCCAGGGGAACGCACAAAGCAAGCTGCTCGGCGCTCAACTTCTTGGTCAAAAACTCCAAGAGCATGGGATTGTTGGATGCAAACTGGAAGGTCTTCTTGATGGGTTCACCTTTTGAATTCTTGCCTCCATATGCTCCAGAATGGCATTTGACGATCTGGCCATTGGTATATTCAAGCATCTCCAAGACTGATTCCTCCGACCAAATCCGGCTTCTTTCAGGATTTTCGATGAGGTAATAGTTGCCGTCATCATGTTGTTGTCGGCACCATTCCATGGATTTGACCACCGTAGGTCGTTCCTCATCTCTGATCCTTTCAAGTACCTCAGGACGGTCGTTATAGTTCATGTTTTCCTGCATGACCAACCATGGAGTGCAATGAAGGCCTTGAAGAAGAACAAGTGGGTGCAAGGCCTTTCGAATTTTGAAGCACCAGTGTTGACCTTCCACCGTAGAAAGATCAGTGCCAGTGTTATAGTCCAATGGCATGGCTGCTGTCAAAACATACTTGGAGGCATTCTTGCTTACCAAAGCATTGCCGGCAAAGGTCTCCAGAATGTCGACCTTGTTCCTGGAATAGCGATGTTTGTTCGCCAGAGCTTCATAAGTATCTGCTTCCACCTGCAAGGCATGTCGAGCCTTGCGAATCTTGCCAATCAGGTACTTTCGGTGGCCATCATTCAACCCTGGTCCTCGCCCCAGTCGTACAGATCTTCCTGACTGCCTGTCTCCTGCCACTCCATCTCCAACTCTGGGCCCTCTGCGGCCATGTTCAAAAGTCGTTGATAATGAACCTGGTGGATCTGATGGATGTTCTCGGCCGTGAGCAGGTTGAGGTTGTCCAGAACATGTTGAGGAATCTCCTGCACTGTAGGCTCGTTCAAAGGACTCTGAGAAGATGGATGGCCACGGCTCTTGGCTTTGGGTTTGGCTTTGGCTTTGGAGGTTGTTGCTCTCAGGGACCTCGACGTCGAGGATGCCGGCAAAGTGTTTGAAGGTGAGGGCTGCGGCAAAGAAGAGCTTGCCGATTGTGCGAGCCCAATGTCCTCCCAGCATTGATTTCGAGGATCCCATTTGCGTCTGGTGTGACACAGGGTGCACCTGGCGAAACTGCCCTTGGGATTGCCGTACCTCTTCCATTCCGGATGGGTGCATTCCGATGGGTGGTACTGAGCGCTCCTCATCTGTGAAGCCAGTACCTCTTGTTCTTGTCGCATCTCCCATCGCTCCCTCAGTGTCAACCATACGCGGCTCGCCAATCCCACTTTGACCATTCGAGACATCCATCGAAGGGTCATGAGCTCCAAGTTGAGCACTGCCAAAAGGAGTGCCTTCCATCGGAGCAGCCATTGAGGAACGGGCTGTCGAATCATCAGAAACTGCAAACACAGGGGCTGGCTGATCTCGAGGAAGTTGCTGCTTCAGATGCAAAACGTCACTGGTGGCAATGATCTCTGGATGTGGATCTTTCCAAAAACTCTCATGTGAAAGCGCATGCCAAACAGGATCTTGATGAACATGTTCATGAAACTCTGAAATTGAAACTGCAAGATGTCCATTGATCTTCTGAATCGGCACTGAAACATCCAACGCTCTAAAAAAAACTCTCTGCTTTCCCAGATCAACCACTGTGTCCAGCTGTTCCAAAAACGTGTTTGAAGCCAACAAAGGAATGCTAGTGTCAACCACGCTGGAACCTATCAAAAACAAACATCCACCCAATGACACCGGCATGTAAACTCGGTCCTTGGCATAGATAGGCTGCCCACGACCAAATTGGAAAGCCTCACAGGTGTCAACATGCTTGACCATCATTCGATGTTGGCCGAGGAGATGGACTTGTTGGGATAGCCATTGGGTGCCACAACACATACGCTGACATGCAGTGTCTAAAATCATAAAACCAACCAGTGGGGTCATATCGGTCATCATGATGTCATATACCGGAGTGTTGATATTCACAACCATGAAGGAGAAATAGTTAGGAACTTCAGGATGATCAGTTGGGAGATGTCGAGGCTCAGAATCTTGATCTTGAGACATGGTGAAGAAAACCTTTTTCGCAGGCTTGCCGCCCTTGTCAGGCTGGGATTTTCCATCCTTTGAATGTCCTTTCCCAGCACCTTTTGATGAAACAGTACATTCTGCATCTCCGGCACAGTGCCCTACACTTCCACAAGCGCTGCAGTGGCTGGTGCGTTTCCGGTCCTGAATTGACCGATTGCCAGAGTACTTTCTCCCCAAAGTGATCGACTGAAGTTTCTTGGCTGTGACAGTCAGCACTTCAGCAACTGACTGCAAATCAACACCTTCAGATTCTGCTTCTTCCATCAACATCATGTTCCTCAGCTGGCTCATCCTGCTGAGGCTGACCATCTGGTTCAACTGCATCTTGAACATCATAGTACGATTCAGCGTCTGGCTCTTCTTGTTCTTCTTCGACCGGATCAAGATCCTGGTGCTCAGTCGCAAAAGCATGGCGAGGAGCAAAACCACTCTTGCCAGAGCCCTTGCTTTTGCCCTTGTTTCCTTTGGAAGACTGTGAGGCAGCTGAGCTGGTGCTGGCAGAGGTCGAAGAAGATGAAGATGACCAGTCACGCCTTGACTGAAAGGCTTTGATAGGCTGTCCATCTTTTCCAAATAAAGGTGGCGGCGGCTTGTGCTCTGGAAACGACATGCAAAGACTTTCAGCAATGGCTTCGAAGGACAAGTTGAAGGCCGATCCAATCAAAACCAATCTGCCGTTTTCAGGCGACAGCCGAGATCTCTCTAACAGCCTATTGCCCATTGACTCACTGTCGTACATGCCACTTGCAGTGACACCGACACTCTCAAGGGCTCGTTCAGCTCTTCTGTATCGGTTCACAAAAGCTCTCATAGACTCATTGCTCTGTCTCACAATGGTCTCAAACTCTGACATCAACTTCCTTTTCTGGTACACCATCTTGGTCTCCAGGCCTTTCTTCAACAAACTCTCCACATAGTCAATGCCTGTAGATGAATGCAAACGATCCAAGTCAATGTGCTCCAGCTCCTCCTCCGGCTCACCAGAAGGACTCGTATATAACATCAGCGCCGCATCACGCAGAGGCATGTAGGCTTGGATCTGTCGCTTCCAAACCTGCAGTTTGTTCTGCCACTTTGCAAAGCTCCTGATATCATCTCTGGAATAGCGCCATGCAGGTGGAGCTGGTGGTGCTCCTGATCGAAAACGAAGTCCACGCTCAGGCCCTTTTCGACTGTTCCAGCTGTCCTGAGACGAGGATCCATCTGCATTGTTAGTGTTAGTCTTTAGGTTCGGTACATTCGCATTCTTCAGGGTCGTTACCAAGTCATTCAAACTGCGGTTGAGGTCACCAAGGAGTTCACCGGAACGCTGACTTAGTTCCGAACACTGAGAACTGCGATCTGACTGAGGTGATTGTTCTACATCAGGTCTTTTCCGGCGTCTTCTCCTGCGAGGCCGCTGCAAATCTGGATCAACCACAGGATCTTCCGTAGGATGCTCAGACTCAGCATGCCTTTCATGGCCATCATCATCCAATGAGCCTTCTGAAGGGTCAGGTGGAGGCCAAAAACGGGGTGCCCTAGAATCCGGCTGCAGTTCCACGGACTCAACTGAGTGAACAGGGGAATGGCCAGGTGAATGCCGTGGCATGAACATCCATGTACCCTCAGGAATCTCTGCTTTCACAGTTCTAGAAGCATCATAGTATCTATCACCATCACATTGGACACATCTCCAACAGTCATGTCGCCACTCGAATTTGTGATGATTACAGGCCATGCATCGCCAAAGTGAACTAGAAGCTGCACTAGCGGAATGAACTGGGCTCAACAAATCAACGGGTGGTCCTGGAACTGGCGCATCGAGCAATGGCGAGTCACAGGAGTCGATGTGGGTACGTTGGCCAAACATCTCGATGCACCAACGCAAGCTCCGGTGCCAGATGAATGAACCACGTGCCAAATGTGGTCAAACGAAATGCACTTGCAATGCAATCAGCAAGTCGGCATGTTTTGCGCGGCAAAACGGTTGATGCAAATGGCTCTGGATCCTTGAGGAGCCAACGGAAATCATGGACAGGATGGATCAATGCTCAGAAGCAACACCAAAATCACAGAAAAATGGTGGATCTTTCCATCGTTTTTTGTTAACGTTTACCAGAGGGTATGATGAATACATCCACCCCTTCTCTTTGCACAGCAACCCTCCAAGTTCTGTTGGTGACAGACTGCTATCCCAAGACTTGCTTCTGATATCTCCACGTATTGTGGGTAAAAACAAGGCAATCTATATCCTTTGAACCTTCGATCATCTTTCGCCATGCTCGTTGAGAAAAGAACCACTATGTTGTTACATGTTCCTTTCCCATCTGTGTGATTGTGTTCTTGGCAGTTTCAAGTTTCATGCTTAAACTCAGATATCCTGCCCCTAAAAAAATATATTTGTTGGTTCGTCTAGTGTTCCATGAAAGTGGTGAACATACAGCCCATGAAGCTATAACACCTCGGTCAAAGAGTTGGTAAGTCCAAGAGTCTGTGGCAAACCCAACATCAGTGGCCCTTTAAGGGACCTACATTGGAGGTACATACGAGATATGAAGTCTATGTAAGGGCTATGTAAGAGAATATCCCGAATATCCCCACAACATATTGGGTCATGATTTGGGTACAATACCAAGCGATGTAAATCACAAAAGCCGCACTTCTAACACGTTTTTGAGATATTTCGAGATAGCCCGCAATGAATGGATGATAAACCCCCAAAACATCGGAATGCAATAGAAGACCCTTCAAGATTGGAATACAACCCCTCAAAAATTAGATTGTTACGTTGGTTTGTCTTAGAATAGGATACCCCAAAATCTGATAGTTAATCTTCATTGCACCCATATACAATCATTCATTGTTCAAACCCCAATTATTCATGGTTAAATCACCATATTTCACGGTGTTTCAGTTCATGCTTACAAATCAGGGTACAATATACAGCAGCGCCCTTAAAAAATTGGAATACAACCGCCTGTAAGATGGAATTATCATGAACCATCATATCATCCTTGCTTGAAGGATCATCCCAGTTGGTAGGACGGTCCTATAACGGTTAGTTAGTCCCCAGACAGTTGCTAGGTGGTGGTTCAATGGATTGGTTTAAGGGAAAACCTACAGGAAACCATAGATTTTCCCATTAAATATGGGGCTTTCCTGTAAATTTTCCCTTAAACCAATCCATTGAGTGGTTTTAACCATCTTGAAAAAATTAAGTTCGTCAATGGGAAGGATGACATCCCATATATGAAACGGAAAATATTCAAGTCATGTTTGAAACCACCAACCAGATATAATTATATAACTGATGCTGATTGGTGGTAGGCCTACCCCTCTGAAAAATGATGGACAACTCGTCAGTTGGGGTGATTTTCCATTCCCAACCAGATGGAAAGTCATAAAAGTCCATGCATGGTTCCAAACCACCAACCTGTATATGATTTTACCATATGGAGGTTTCCTAAGTCATAGGGCTACCTCCAGTTATCCAGCTATTGAGGATAGGATTTTCCACGTCACCCTCCAGTCAATGGGAATTTCAGGATCCGATTGATTGGAGGTACCTACCATATATAAGGCCTATATAAGGCCTATTTTTCAGGCCTATGTAAGGGAATATCCCAACAAAATATGGCCAAACATATGGTACTAACGTACCTCCATTGGTTCCTAGGTGGTTTTCCACATAAAAAAAAAAAAACATAAAAAATGGTTTTTCCATAAACATTGGTTCCTAGTGGATTTTCCCATAAAAAATGGTGGATCTTTCCATAGCTATGTTAAATTACCAGAGGGTAGGTGGCCTGATCCTCCGATTTTCCCCAGATTTTCCCCATCTCGGCTGCTCCACCCGTGTAAACTCGGCCTCCCGTACACTTGGCCCATGATCCTTCTTGGCCAGAAATTCACCTGTAACATGGGGATGACCTACCTGTAACATGGGGATATCATTCGTGAGGATTGCATATAGTATAGGCAACACCAATAGATGTTTTTGTTTATGATTATAGAATAGTCATTCAAGAATCATGCACAAATTGGGGATATATATATAATGATTATGTATTATGGGATCTATACACATATATATATATATAGCCAACATAATTGGAATTCGACCACACTCAGTCAGGTTCAAAACCCAATCATAGACGGTTAAAATTTGCCCTTATGGACGTGGTTGTTAGTGGTTAAGATGCCCCCTAAATGCTGGACACTTCATCCAGCAAAGTGGTTTCAAATGTGCTTGGATGGTTTGAAGATGTTTTGAAGATCTTATGATGTCTTATGAAGATCCCATAAAGATCATTTGGAGGTTTCCTAAAATTGGGGTCCCCCCAAATCATCCATTTCAGTAGGAGTTTATCTTATAAACCATCCATTTTGGGAAGCTTCATTTTCAGGAAACCCCCCCATTTGAAGAAGGGATGAAAATGTTGGTACCATCTGGTTATTTAACATAGCCATGGCAAATCCACCCATTTTTTAGACCGGTAAACCATCTATTTCTATGGGCCATCTATTTACCATGGCTATGTTAGTCATAACCAGATGGTATCTCAATATAACCATCATTAACCATCATTATATAACCATTATTAACCATTCATCATCATTAACCATTAAACAATAACCATTTATATTACATATCTATCCCTGGTGGATGCTGGTGGAGATGTTGACCTGGGAGGAGTTCGGATCCTTTCCTGAATGCTTTTCTGCATGAAGCTGAACATCTACATCAAAGGGATTGAACCTCTGGTGAACTAACAGTTTGCTATTGAAAATAGCCATTGAAATAGTGGATTTACCTATTAGAAATGGTGATTTATAGTGGATTTACCTATTAAAAATGGTGATTTATAGTGGATTTACCTATTAAAAATTGTGATTTATAGTGGATTTACCTATTAAAAATGGTGATTTATAGTGGATTTACCTATTAAAAATGATGATTTATAGTGGATTTACCTATTAAAAATTGTGATGTTCCATATGTTAGTTTACCAGAGGGCACTACATGTTGGATTTCCCATGTTGGATTTCCCATCATTTTCCTGCCTACAAATTCGAACCCAGCTCAAGGAGCGCTGGGTTGCAATTACCCTCCTGTGTCAACATGGCTAGCTGGGAAACCCCCGAACTAAATGGATATAAATGGAGTTTGTTTTTTTTAAACCATCGAACTAAATGGTGTTTCCGAATATCTTTCCTTTTAATTAAAAAATAATAAGTCATCGAACTAAACGGTGGATTTTCCATAGCCATATGTTTGATTACCAGAGGGTGATTTTCTATAGCCCCATCATGAAATCCACTCTGAAAGGCGTCCATGGTTAGATTTATCAAGGTATTTGTCGTCCTTTCCTCAGATGGCCACTTCCAAGCTGCAGATCTTTGTCCTGTTTGGATTCTATGCGATTCATCCCGGTGCACCCTGGAAAAAGATATGAGATATATATATATACATAGATGGTTGGTGGCTGGTTTCTACCCCTCTGAAAAATATGAGTCAGTTGGGATGATGAAATTCCCAACTGAATGGAAAAATAAAATTCATGTTCCAAACCACCAACCATATATATATATATATAGATATAGATGGATAGATACTTTGATAACCAGCATCAGCTATGCTTAACCATCATCGACTATGTTACATTCACATCATCATGGCTAAGTCCACAAAATCAGCAAAAAATTACACTATGATGATACCATAATCAGCTTAATCAGCTATGCTTAACCATCATCAGCTATTACTAATGCTTAACCATTATGAATCATGAATCATCATTGACAAAGCCAAGTACATTCCAACATGACAGCTGCACCGATGATCACCACATAGAGCCCCAAGAAGGCGGCATTGGCCAAAGCCTCAGGGTGTTCTATATGAATCTATATGATCTATATATTTTTCAATGACCTGATTTAACATTATTGTTCTATATATATGTATGTGTGTGTGATATTGGTAGATAAATGATATATATATATGGTTCAATGACATGATTCAATATTATGGCTCAGTAAGCTGAATGTGGTTCAATATGATGTTTTTGATGCCCGTAACAAAGGATTGGATTATGTGGTCTGATGATGTTTAATGTTGCAATAGCACCAAACAACTATGATTTAATGATGATTGATGATCTCTAATGATGGGGAAATGAATTATTGACATTTACTATGAGAATCATTACGATTTACCTGAAACATGCAATATCGTTGCTGTTCATGGTTATATGTTCCATTTATAGCCCAAAAGATAGATGATTAGTTTCTACCCATCCAGGCCGTTGGGTGAATAGCATGCTCCCTGAACGAAACAATATTTACTGGTTGGTGGTTTCAATCCCTCTGAAAAATATGGGTTCGTCAGTTGGGATGATTATTCCCAATATATGGAAAAATAGAAGTCATGTTCCAAACCACCAACCAGTTTAAACTATTTTAAACTGATATCGGGAAATTGCAAGGGATTTTTTCCTTTGCCATCTTTGATTGCCGCAGCCTGGATCATCATGTCATCTGGAAGGGGTCAAAACGCCGGCCGGCGATTGTGATAGCAACCCCCTTAAAAGAAAAAAATAAAAATCTTACAATAATATTGGGAAATTGGTCTTCTATATCTTCTTGGGGCTTGCTATATGGTCATGCCTTTTTTTCTTGATCTATGTGGTTGCATCACCTTGCGAAAAGCGTTCCCATGATTCTTATATTGGTCCTTCAGATTATCTTTTTCCATTATATATATAGATAGCTAGATATAGATATAAGATATATATATATACCTAATGATATAGACCCTAAAATCTAAGAGTAATCCATGATTCTTATCTGAGTCAGATACTCAAACCTCCTTGGATATTGCCCAAAGATCGAAAAAGTGCAGGGCCAAGGCACCAGAAAGGCTTGGGACTTCAGTTCGCAATTGGTAACACACCTGGGAGAAGATCCACCATCAACGCCAGGTTTCTCTGAACATAGGATATCCCCAATTTCATCGGAAACTGTCCATTTTGGGGGACCCCATTTTCTCAAGGAAAATTTCAGGATCCTAAAAGCGAGGTTCTGTGCCATATAAGCACTTTTTGTCGGCTACATAAGCCGTACATATACCTTACATAAGAAGTTATATAAGGCCTATGTAAGGCCTATGTATTTGAATATAAGTTTTGCTCGAAAACTATGTCTCAACCTCTGCAAAAACCACAAAAAAAAACAATCTTTAATGGATATACTTATATATGTTTATATATATATATCTCTCTCCCTATTTGACCATGGAACCTATTACAATCTATTACATAAATTACCTGAAATCTTGTGACTTCAGGGCGCGCAGAAGTAAAACTCCACCACAACACCACAAAGACCTGCGATGTTTGTTTGTTAGAGTTTGTTTCAACCTTAAATTTTGTTTCATCAATCTTACCTCCGCTAGTTACGGCTAGTTGTGATCATGAAAGACCACGGCCATGGGACGCCAAAAGATCGCTGTGATAAGTGTAGAAACCATGGAAAGGGTGGGGGTTTCCTATCGAAATCAAACATGTGGCACCGGAAAATCACACTATTTGCATGAAAAAATCTGCTGTTGATAGGGGTCCCCCAAAAAAGGATTTCGGCATTAATATCATGAATGTATTGGTGAATGTTGGTTAGCATACCTTCTGGTAATTTAACATAACTATGGAAAGATCCACCATAGAAATAGTGAATTTTCCCATCAAAAATGGTGGATCTTTCCAGTTCGTTATGTAACAAATTCCCAGAGGGTAAAATCCCATAGAAAATCCCATTCAACCACCATTTTCCTATGGTTTTCCTATGGTTTTCCTATGATTTTCCCCGAAGTCATCAACCAATCAGCAACGCCTATGAAAAAAACCGACGAAGACACAGGATGTCGCGGATGGCGATGGAAGAAGGGCTGCTGGTCACGAAGACGGAATTTCCGCAGGTCGCTGCCACCACCATCAGCCTGGTCGGAACAAAAGGGGTGACGGGTTTGACTCATCAGAAACGGGTGGTTTAACCATGATAACTGGTAAAACTGATGATTCAACTAGTAAATAGATATATATATATATATATTTATGTAACCATCAAAAATGGTGGAATTAGGCGATTTGAACACGTAACATCGGGATTTCACCAATGATTCATGGCTGGTTGGTTGTTTCAACGTTTCAACCCCTCTGAAAAATATGGGTGAAAGTCAGTTGGGATGATGACATTCCCAACTGAATGGAAAGTCATAAAAGCCATGTTCCAAACCACCAACCAGTAGTGGATTTAGGGGTGCCCGATTTTCAGAGAAACCCTTAAATATCCTACAATGTGAGGCCCCCCAGTTATAAGTTGGTTTATAAGCCCCAGTAACTATAGTTATAAGTACCATAAACCATAGTTATTGGAGTTATAAACCAACTTAGCTATCTTGGGGGCCTCACATTGTAGGTATGGGTCATGGCACGGGGGAATTCGCAGGATTTACAAGACCAAAATAGCTGGCTGTTCATCTCCCCAAATATGGTACCCTCCGGTAAGTTAACATCGCTATGGGAAATCCCCTAGTTGTTGTTTTTCGGTGATGTTCCCGTTGACCTTAAAACAGAGGCAATATTCCAATGATATTTATGATATTTACTATAGTACAAACATTCAATATAATTCAACAAATTGGAATATTGTATATAATTTATATAATTATGATATTTAGTTGTAGTTATCTATGATATTTACTAACTACATTGTACTGTGACATTTATGATATTTAATTTACTATAGTACACTTGTAGCCAACCAATAGTTACTATAGTTTTTTCTACCTATCCACATCTCCCCCAAGCTCCAGCACCGTCTCCATGGATTGGTTCAAGATACATGGATTGGCTTGGGTTGAATATAGAGAGGGCTTTGTTGGAAAAATGTGGCTGGTTAATTACAACAACAATCATACCAGTAATTTTGACATGGAAAATGGACTCTTCGCCCATTTTTGGTTCATTACTATTACAATCACCAGAGTCCATTGGAATCCATGGGGCATTTTTTCGTATTTACTCCATGGATTGGTTGGTAACACTGAAACTGGAACCCCATGGAGGTTTCCAGGGTACCCCTTTATCGCTGGCTGGATGGTTTACTTCATGGAATGATTTGGGGATAAAAAAACCATTTCAGGAGCCATGGGTTCAATGGTTAATGATAATGGTTAATGATGATGGTTGTTATATGGTTAATGATGATGGCTATTATGTGGTTAATGATATTTCTATAATTTTCTATGTTCTATCAATGGGAGATCTTCAGGATCCGAATTGATGGAGGTACGTAAACGTACCATATGTTTGGCCAGATTTTATGGGGTTCCCTGAAATTTAGGCCTTATATATGGTAGGTACCTCCAATGAATCGGTTCCTGACATGGCCGTTGATCACTGGGTTCATCCATGGTTTTCGGAAACCAGATTCTCCCCGTTTAACCAATCCGTTGATTTATCCAGTGAATCCATTTCCCATCTCATGGATAAACCAATAGAAAAGCAATGAAAGGACTCCCTAGTGGATGGTTGCAAAATCCTGCACCAGTTGATAGCAGTATTTATAGTGTTTCAACGACCCAAGGTGGTGCAGGATTTCTTCCATCCACAGTATCTCATGGCCCAATCTTATAAACCAACCGTTTACTATCTGGTTATTGAACATAGCAATGGAAAATAACCCATTTATAAACGATTGATTGGATGCTATTCCCAGAGTTTCCCAAGCGTTTCCCCATGTCAAACGCCATTAATCATCATTAATCATCATAAGTCTCCACAGTTCTCTCCATTAACCACAATAAAAACAACTATTGCCCAACTATTAACCACTACTAACCACTATTAACCACTATTGCCCAACTATTATCAATGGATTGGTTTAAGGGGAAATCTACAGGAAACCATAGATTTTCCCATTAGATTTGGGGTTTTCCGGTTAAAATTTCCCGTGAAAACCAATCCATTGATAATAACCACTATTTTCCCATATATCAACTACTATTAACCACTACTAACCACCAATTAACCACTATTAACCACTATTAACCACTATTTCCTATGGTTTTCCTATGATTTTCCTATGGTTTTCCTATGATTTAACCAATTAACCACCAAGTGAACCTACCAACTCTCCAGGGAACAGCAGCAAGGGCCGCAGCTTAAAGCTGTGACTCTTCGCCCATTGGATAATCACCGGTGTGGCCGTGGTGATGGCCGTGGTAGCGCCCACGAAGGCCTGAGCTTTTGAAAAATGGTGAAATTAGGTACAGGATTTACTGGTTAATTGGTGGTTAGTAGTGGTTAATAGTGGTTAGTAGTGGTTAGTCGTGGTAAATAGTTGGGCAATGGTGGTTAGTAGTGGTAAATAGTGGTTAGTAGTGGTTAATAGTTGGTTCATAGTTGGTTAATAGTGGTTAGTAGTGGTAAATAACCAATATGATCACTTTAATTAACCACTTTAATTTAGGCATCAACTAAAAATAGGCTTTAATGGGGTTTTCATGGGATTTTTCATGGGATGAAATTTGGATATTATGGGATATACAAGCAACCACAACTATTACTGGCGGGGTCGGATTGTGTGGACCAAATCCAATACTTGATAGCCAATTTTCAGAATTGGGTGATCTTTATATGTATAACTCTGGAACTTTAATCTCCATAAGTTCAAAGAATTAAATATAACCCTTACAACTATGGTTATATGTTGTTGTTTTTCGAAAATGGGGGTAACTCATCCATTTTTGTTTGGGATGTTTAATGAAAACCATCCATTTTGGGGTGCCCAGATTTCTAGAAACCCCCATATGTAGATGGGGTAGCCCACAACCATGGGTTTCAATACAAAAATTGCCGAATTTTGGATGACTTGGGGTGTTCCCTATTTTAGGAAAAACTTCCATATGTAGAAAAACTAAACTGAAAAGAATGTGGGAAAATTGGTGGGTTCTCATGGATGGTTCACCTTCTGGTAAGCAAAGGCGGTATGGAAAATCACCCAAGTTTGATGATTCGTCCAATTACCATCTGGTTATTCAACATAGACATGGAAAATCCACCCATTTTTTAAAACGGGAAACCATGGTTTTAACCATCCAAAAACATCTATTTCGATTAGGGCCATCGAAAAACCATGGCGAACTGTTAGTCATAACCAGAGGGTAAAAAATTCTATTCACGGGGGGATTTCCAGGCGTTTCATTACCAGAGGGTAAGCAACAACACTTTGGTTTTGATAGGTTGGCGTTGGAAATGGTATATCGGCCAATTGATCTACCAAAATAAACTTAAGTGTCAACATATGTCAACATATGTCAAAATCCTGGCAACCTTGCTTAAAACGCCATAACATAGCTCAAGACATGAAGTTTCGCCCATGTCACATGTCCATCCAACATCTGGCAAAGGTTTTGATCTTTGATCCACCCCCCTGTTCCAGCCATGGCTTCAATCGCCGCCAAGGAACTCCCAGGAGCAACACAGCACAGTAGAGCCGACTGCGAGGCAAATGCCCTGGCGATTCTGAGCTGGGAAATAGCCCAATCTACCCTCTGGTAAACATACAAAAAACGATGGAAAACCACCATTTTTAATGGGTAAATCCACTATAAATGGCAATTTTCAATAGCTATGTTAAATTACCAGAGGGTATTTTCTCCTGTTCCATGGCTGGTTCCGATTCCTAAAGACATCTGATGTCTTGGTGGTTTTTGACCTGTGTTCTCTGCATCAGCAACACCTAGAGTTGAAAGGTGGTGCTGGAAAACACGCCCCGTGACCCTTAGCCAGAGCGAAACTGGCAGCTATGGACAATGGAAAAAGAAACTTACAAAATTATCCCGGCAAGAGACCCCAAACAGTGTTGGGGTGTGGTAGGACAATGATAATGTTGTTGATGTTGATGATGTTGATGATGTTGATGATGTTGATGATGTTGATGATGATGATGGTGATGATGATGATGATGATGATGATGGTGATGCTGATGCTGATGGTGATGAGGATGATACTGTTGCAGACGATGATGTTGAGGATGATGATGATGTTGCAAAGATTTGGGCCGGGCGCCGGCGGGCCACTTGGACGTCTTCGGGCCGGCATAAAAGCAGCAAGCCGGGTGAAGCCAGCCCTGTCGATCCAGATGTGCACCACATCACGAACAAATACCGGCATGGTCCGAATAGGCATCAAGCACGGGGGCACCAGATATCAGTAGCACTGTCAGGGATGCCCAATCGCTGACGGAGTTCGGCCCCAAAAGTGGCAGGCTCCATCCGGCACCCAGAAGGGATGGCCGGCGTTGCTGTCTGGCGAGGTAGGCAGCGGGGGCGTCAGACCGCTGCCTTTGGACATGAGACACTTTGCCAAACCAATAAGTATTTGGGACCCCATGACCCCAGGTCAGTACCATCTTGGTTGTCTAATTGGGGGCTCGTTGGGACTCCCAAAGCTGATAAAAGTTGGGACCAAAGCTTTTTAAAAGTTGCGAAATTCGTTTGAAGGATGATCAACAGCCCATGAGACCCTCAAAGTTTCATCTACCCCCTGGTAAACTAACATAACTATGGAAAATCACGATTTTTAATGGGAAAACTCACTATTTCTATGGCCATTTTCAATAGCCACGTAACAAATTACCAGAGGGTATAGAACTTTTCCAATGGACAATCCTCCCCCAGGATACCCCAAGTTCAACTGCCAGCCTTGCTTAGGGTTACGGCCCAACATCCACAGCAAAGAGAACTCGAGGATTCCTGCAGCTTCAACGGAATCCAAAATGGCCAGGTCAAGTAATGCCGACCGACAAAAAAGAGCTCCTTGGCCTCAGGAATGATACCCTCTGGTTATGTCAAAATAGCTGTGGAAAATCACCATTTTTTTATTGGAAAATCAACTATAAATAGCCATGTTCAATAGCAAACTGTTAGTTTACCAGAGGGTAATTCTACTAGATTTGGGAATACTTAATGTTGACATACTTGGAGCCATAGCTATTTCAGGATACTTCACATCACCCTGCGAAGGGAAGCGGTCCTGAGTCCCGTATGCCACAAATGATGACGAACTGCAACTGGGGCAGCCAAGGTCCAACCCTCAGATTTCACGTGCGGAACACTTGGGTTGAGGCAGCTGTTGATCTTTCTCGGGTGCAGGATGGCATTTCATGATTCACAATTTAAAGCATGAATTTTCCTGAATGACCCTCCGGTCATTCAAGGTTGCGGGCCGCTGTGACATTTTCGTATAAATGGAAATTCAAGTGGGAAAATCATCTACTTGGGGGTTCATCCCACTTAGTAAGTAGCTATAAATAGGCTAAGTAGGGTTAGTCAACTTATAACCGGGGTTACCCTCTGGTAAACTAACATAACTATGGAAAATCACCATTTTTTATGGGAAAACTCACTATAAATGGCCATTTTCAATAGCTATGTTAGTTTACCAGAGGGTATAACCCACTTACTATCTGGGATGAACCACCAAGTATAAATTCCGGATGGTGTTTTTGTCAATGGATGGCAACCGCTGCCGCTCCGGTCCCCGTATAGAAAACCCCCCGGGCACACGCACCGTGCGAAGCCGGTCACGATGTCCATGTGGTCCACCAGACCAACCAAAGCCAGTACCATCAGCAGCCCTGCGAACCTCGGTAAAACCAACTGGTGGTTGACCTATCCTATCCCTCTGAAAAATCATGGAGTGAGTTCGTCAGTTGGGATCAGCAGATTCCCAACTGAATGGAAAAATGGAAAAATACAACATGTTCCAAACCACCAATCAGTCAGTGAAACCGATCAGCTATGACGGTACCTGGCCTGGATATAGCTAGATCCCCTTTAAATCATAGGCATTGAAATGAGAAAATCATAGGAAAATATGGGAAACTATGCGAGAATCATAGGATGATTAAATGGGAAAACATCGAAGGGAATTTGTTCCGGACATGTTTCCTTACCAGAAGGCAAATCTGTGTTAATTATTAAGGTTGGCTACTGTGCTTTAAAGTTCGGTCGCGCCAATTTTTTAAGGAAAGTTGATTGAACGACACGATTTGTGATATAATTTGATGTATACAATGTAATATGAGATAATCATGGCGACCATGGTGGCCGGACTTTGCTGTACTTGAGCCAAAGGGGATAGGGGAAGGTACCTAAATTTTTGAACCAAACGTGGGCGTAAATACCTATATGATCCTCATTTTGTGCAGGTGATCCCATCATTCTTTTGGTGTTTCTATGGTTTTGTCTGAAAATAGGGCAGCTAAAAATTCAACCCCCAACCTACGGCAAAAACATCATCCAACAGTTTAGGCCTTTAAAAAACGTCCAAGCAGCACGAAGGATGAACGCACACCGTTCAACAAGTGCGTCAGGGAGAAGACCAAGGCCAAAAGGGTCCTGTTCCACAACAGGAAATCCCATGGAAATCCCATGGAAAATCCCTGTTGCTACCATTGGTTCAATGGGGGTTTGCTGTGAATTTGCCCTTCAACTAATTATGTTTTTGGATTTTCGCGGCTAAAACGGAGAACATCGCTGCAACTTTAAGAATCAAATTTTTGGTGACATGTGGCAATCCAATGCCATGATTAACCATATGTACCCACGATGGCATTGGTATTGCTGAAGATCACCCGAAAAAACATGACTGGTTGGTGGTTTCAGCCCCTCTGAAAAATATGAAAGTCAGTTGGGATTCTTATTCCCAATAATGTTCCAAACCAACAAACAGATAATAATTCACCAACCTGACCAACCACAGCACATCTAAAGTTTAAAGTGGAGGTTCCCCACCCCCAAAGACTTTGCAAAGCCTCAAGGAATATTCTGTCAAAATACTGTTGGAACAGCACAGGACCAACGAACGTCACGGGAATTTTCATGTTTTGGAGCCACATCTATATCAAACCGCTGTTTATGACCCCATTGTAGGCACTATTCCAACCCATTGCGAATAATAAATGACGTGGCCCCGCAAATGCATGGGTCAGCGACGCAAAACCATTGGGAAGAACAATTTACAACACAGGATTTGGGCCCTAACTCCACTCCTACTATACTTTTTGACAAACACTTTACTGAACTACATAAAACAAGAACCAAATAGTACTGTATCAAATGCTAATGTAGCAGGAACAAAGTAAACAAAATGAAACACAGAAACATCTAAGAAAACAGCATACTATGAATATAAACAACATCAATTATCAAAAAAAAAAATGCTCAATTACCTGGAATTTGGAGCCCCAAAATTGGGGACCCTCTCTATAATCTCTATATTTGTTGGTCCTTTTTCTAGAAACATGCCAGGGTCACATGCCATGCCACAAACCCCACCATCGATCCATCGGCATTTCGGCTGTCCCGTAAGCGACCCTCACTGGGTATTGCAGTGGTCGTTCCAAATCCTTGTGGGGCCAGCGAGGATGAAGAAGTCCCTCCACCACCACCTGCGGAACGTCTGGAAGTTTCACCAACATGTGGATGTTTAACATGTCAATGTCCATGTTACGGCGAGTTCACTTAAATATTGGGGGATTGGTGTTCATGTTATGGCTAAGTCACTTGATAACGGATGGAAAATCAGTTGTGGGATTGTTCTAATCTAGGCACATGTCTTTCTACAACCAAATAGGGATGTAACGCTGATCTACTGTTTGAAAAAGATTGGCAAATTAGGGTATCAACATACAGGATGGTGCCCCCCAGTTATAAGTTGGTTTATAAACCCCATTAACTATAGTTATATCTGCCATAAACCATAGTTATGGGAGTTATAAACCAACTTAGCTAACTATGGGGCACCACCTTGTATGCCACAAAAAATGTTGATGCAATGATAAAACCAGAAAAAACGAGCAACTCCCCAAAGATTTTTTCTCCGGGGGGAAATCATATGGGACATCCGTGGCCAAGCGGCTGGGCTTCTTTACCAACCTGAAATTGAAATACTGGTTGGTGGCTTTAACCATCTTGAAAAATATTAGTCAATGGGAAGGATTATATTATGGAAGATAAGAAATGTTTGAAACCACCAACCAGATATTATAACTGATGCTGGTTGGTGGTTGACCTACCCCTCTGAAAAATATGAGTTCGTCAGTTGGGATGATGAAATTCCCAACTGAATGGAAAAATAAAATTCATGTTCCAAACCACCAAGCAGTATATAACTGATGGAATGGATGAAATCCTGTTGGCCAATTGTTTTTGCGTCTAAGAGGGGTATCCATCCATTTTTGAGTCATCTCTTGGAGGAAGTTCGTGAATGAAAGATAGTAATAAGATAACAATGACCTACCAATTGGTCATGGTTTCTATCCACCATTTCTGATAAATTTATATGATAAAATTGGGGTGTACCATTTTGGTTTACCACATGAAGTGTTTCTGAAACCCATCTTCAGCAGTGCAGGGTTTAAGGCAGCAAACTGGGCCGGGCCACGCAGCAAATGAGCGAGCAAAGATTCACAATGATAAGCCATCGAGGAAAAAGGGTCGAGAGCTTACCCCTCAGTTCCTTAGTGTCTTTCGTTGCCTCTCAACTGGATCGGTTTAGGGAAAAATCATGAAAAATCTACAGGAAACCATGGCTTTGTACACCCAAGTCTAGAGACTTCATTGTGGGATTTTCCCAATAAAACCCAGACTGCCAATATTGGGACTCTCTCCATGAAGTCGCCGATGACGAATGTTTCACAAGTGACACCCTCAAAGTAAATCTAAGGGGGGAAGCAAAAAGCAAAAATGTTTCTACCAGTAAAAAATTACCCTCTGGTAATTCAACAGTTTGCTATTGAAAATTGCCATAGAAATCGTTGATTTTCCCATGAAAAATGGTGGATCTTTCCATAGCAAAATGTTAGTTTACCGGAGGGTATCTCCATTTGAGGATGGGTCCACTAATCACCAAACTAAGGTTTCGGTGATTAGTGTCCATTATTGAGCTAGGGATTTTTGAGAATGACCTACGGTCCCGACAGGCATCTGACATTTTCCACCCAAAAACGCCATATGGGTATGGGTCAAAACCTACTAATCATGTGGTACTGTATAATGGATGACCATCAACCTTGAGGTTCACTGGGGGTACAGGGTTTTGACCCACATCCATATCCATGGGGAAACTTCCGACCATTCATTCATGAGCTGTGAAACCCCATGAACCCGGATAATGAGACAAGGACATTGCAATATCCCATCCACATGGGGGTTTCCACAAATGGAGGTATCCCAAAATGGTTGGTTTTTAATGGAAAATCCGATCAAAACAGATGATTTAGGGGTACCCGTATATTAGGAAACCTCCACATCGCAAAAATCAAGCTGTTGATACCTGTTACCACATCCCATTCACAAGTTGGCTTACCCAGGAAATTGACTAGTTGCTTCGCCCAATGCGGACCTAGTACTTGTTGGTTCGGTTCATACATGTTCATGCCCAATTTTGATGGTGAAAAAGAAAACATTGACTTGCCATTTTACCCCATATTCACCCATGAAAACAACGGTTTACCCGGTCATATTGGCTATATCCCTTTAAATGCGGTTCAAATCATCTCGAAGCATCTGTCAAATCTCAATTTTCTTGGTAATTGCTCCCCATTGTTCCTTATATACTGTTCCTATCACTTTAGTTGTGAAATATCATTAGCAGCAAGGGACTTCTCCATCATATCATGAAAATGTTCATCTAAAAAAGCTGGTATAGCATTGATCCATAGCCATGTTCCAGTCTTCACCCAACAACCGCATCTTGGAATTTCTCAGCCCCAGGTTTTCCCAGCCAAAATTGTTGCATCATATCAATTTCAATACCCAGATATCCCGCTACATTCCAATTATATATATATGGGTAAATTATAATAATTCACTAACCTAAAATAAGGCCATATTGGGATAATTCCCCTTACTAACCATGATTCCAGGGTTCGGGAGAACAGTTAACCATGATTCCAGTGAGGTCGCAGTGAGGTCGTTATAATTTACCCGGATATATATATATATATACACACATATACATATACATATATATATATATCTGTGTGTGTGTGCCCATTATCCACTTAGTATCATATGGTTACAGCTCCCAATGGCTGATAATACCCATAGCTGCGAAGCGCTCCCTCCTGACCATTGGATTTTCGCTTTCATCACCCTATAGTGACCCTTGCGCCCATGAGTATCCCAACAATGTTGGCATCCCTAACAAAAATCTCAAAATCGGATTACAATTCGATGAACATCCCCTTAAAATCACATGAAATCCAATTCTAAACTCCAATTCTCATGGATCCGCTTTTCCCAGCCTCCCCATGCATCCCTGGCGTCCGTTTGCTCCGTGGCCGTCTGCCTCTGCGGACGTTGCGCGCTCTGCGTCTCTAGCAGTCGGAAGGCGTGAAGCACATCAGCCTGGAGATGGTTACCGGGCCCTAAAGGATCCCACAAAGCACCATGGTTTTATGAAATCATACTTGGTGCATCCCACTTAGTAAGTAGGTTATAACCCTATAAATGGGCTAGGGTTAGTCCACTTATAACTGGGGTTATAACCCACTAACTGAGATGAACCACCAAGTACCTTTCTTGCTTGGGAAATCCGAAGTTTTTCCACCAGTTTTGGCTGTCAAATTCGAAATTTCATCAACAGTTCTCGTTCAAATCCTAATGTTTGCCAAATTTCCTCAAGATTGGTGAGCTTTCCCGGCAAATCCCAAATTTCATCAGCATTTCCTGCAACGTGAGGCCTTTCATTCTAAGTTGGTTTACAAAACCATTAACCATAATTAGTTTGTGTGCCGCCGATTCGCTGTAACAGTGGGCACCAGAAGGGCACCAGCATTTTAGCACGAGAAAATTTGAAGAAAACCAGGTTCCGAACTTCCAAGGAGACCACGGTTATTTAACGCACAATCTTCAAGACTGACACTATGAAGACTCAATAAATCAACTGTTCAAAAAAGTTGAGGCAACCCACAAAAGTACGAGCAAACCACACAAAACAAACACGAGGAAAAAAAAAGTAAAAGAAAGCACGAGCAAACCACAAAAAAAAAGCACCAGAAAAAGTACGAGCAAACTACAAAAAAGCACGAGAAAAAGCACGAGCATTGCAGTGACATACAGTAATTCATTGGTGCGGACAGTGCTACACATAAAATACAACATGGGATCCAAAAGTGAAGATCCAAAATGTTGCGAACCCAGAATCAAGTACAAAAACTGAACCAATGCTTTCCAACACCAAAAACAATTCCCAAAAGTGAGGACACAGAGTTCCCAATGTTCTTTTTTTGGGGGGGAATTTAGAATGCTGGCAACCAAGAAAACCTGATATGCTCAAGGAAGCCCATTACTAGCTGTTACGTTAGAGGTGGCACTCAAAACCTACTTATACACAGTTACAAACCTACTTACCCTCTGGTAAACTAACATTTTGCTATGGAAAATCAGCATTTTTAATGGGCAAATCAACTATTTCAATGGGCCATTTTCAAGTTCGCAAACTGTAAACGTTTACCAGGGGGTAGCCATCTAGGAGACTTCACCTTGTGGCTAAAGAATCCCATCCAATAATGATCTTTTCACATAGGATGGGAGAAAAATTCGGATGCCCACCAGTGAAATGTTTCTTGGTTTATGGGGCCCCATCCAAAATGAATAACGATAGTGCATGAAAATTGATGGGGTTCATACACTATGTTTCTTGGGTTTCAAATATTTTTTGGGGGCGTATCGTGCACTATCGTTATTATATAGTTATAAAGCAACGTAGACATCTGCCTGGGGGGCCCCGGGCCCCTGTAGATGTTCATTCTCCAATGTTGATGAACAAGTGGTTCCGCATCACCATTTCTAGATCATTTCCCGGCTAAATCTTCCAACCAATCCAGTGAATGTATGTTAAATCACCATTTTGCCCATGGTTTTCCTATGGTTTTCCTATGGTGTTTCCTATGGAATCATCCAGGTCGCTGATGCCATTGGCCTGTACGTCCCGCTCATCCCGGTTCGCATCGAACCCATCGAGCCCATCGAGCCCCAGGGCTCGAACGCCCGGGCGGTCCAGCGACGCCAGCGATGTCAGCGACATGGCGACGTGTGGTCGACATGGGGTGGATCTGATGAATTGATTAAAGTTCTGATGGAAACATGGTTTAACCATGTTTAACCCACCAAAAAAAAATCATGTTTTAATTGGCTTTAATATCTTTTAAAATTTAAATTTAATCATCCAAAAGTGGTTTAAGCATCAAACAGCAGGGTTTCACCATCAAAGCTCGCAATTGTACTATTTAAAATCGGGGTGAACAATCGTTTACCATTCATCGATTGTAGGGATTGGAAAATGAAGATAGCAGAAATGGGGTGATGGGATTCTGATTAGTTTGCCACAAAAAATGTGCAAGAAACATTTATGTTTTAGCCATATGGATATACCCTCCGGTAAACTAACAGTTTGCTATTGAAAATGACCATTTATCATGGATTTTCCCATTGAAAACGGTGGATCTTTCCATAGTTATTTGTATGTTTTAACCAGGCCCGGTAACCATGGATCCAATGGGCCTTCCGAATGATCCTGCAATGTTTGTTCACCCGATGGACTTCTGGGAACTGCAGTTGCTCAACGTGGGGAATGGCTGGATGGCTGAGGGTTGCTGGGATGATGAAATTGATAGTTAGCCAGTGGATCATTCCCGAACATTCCCTGCGTAAAACGCACGCACCAGTAAGAAAAATATCAAAAAACATGAAAAAATGCTGGGATTTCACCCAACATATAAATGACAAAGTTCCGACTACCTACTGTTCACCATTAGTCATCGCAATCGGCCATCAAAGGGTGCCTGTTCGCATTCCCCCATGCGTCACTGGTTATGATGTATAGTATAGTATATAACCCAACTATTTTTAAAAAAAAAAAAAACAATATGACCATAAATGGGTGGTGTACACAATCCCCAGTCATGGTAGGTTTATGGCATTAGGTTTAAGACACTACTCAAGCGTTGAGTCACGTAACAAACTCCAGGCCTTGCAGGCGGTCTGACCAACCATTTCGCCATCTTGTGTACTAAAAACTGCCCTTCTCTGAGTTCAGTTCTCTGTGAAAAACACTTGTTCTTTGGTTCAATCAAACCCAATTTTGGGGTATGGATTTGCAGCTCGGTTTACCAGCCTCAATCAACTGACAGTAACATCTGGAAATTGGGCACCTCAAAATCTGTTCATCACGTGTCCATTGTTAACCCATTTTCAGGCCCATATGCTTGCGCATCATCCATCATCAACCATCCAACTTATCCGGCAATCAAACGTGGTAACTCAAACTTCAGCATTTACAGATGAGATTTTCCCAGCTATAAACTATAAACCCTCCATTTAGTTCGGGAATTTTCCAGCAAGCCATGTAAACGATGACTTTGGAGGGTATGAGAAAAAAAGTTCTGCCGATTATCGCTTTTTTTGGAACCAACCACTAGTAATCAAATAAGGACACACACATTCCTTCAAAAAGAACGTCTCCGTTTCCCCTTATTGTAATAACTTTATTAAATCTTCCAACTATATGAGGTGTCCCTGACATTATTGTCCACATCATAATTTCCCATTGGATATTACAATTGGTGGGATTATTCCATAGTATGTCATTACTTTCAGATTATCATATCATATACCCTCTGGTAAATTAACTTGTTGACCCTGAAAATGACCAATTTATAGTGGAAACTAGTCTTCCAACCCCGACAACTGCCAGGGTAGTCATGTTAATTTACCAGATGGTAAATAATATCTCTCGCCATCGCCCTCTCTGGGAGCTCAGCATCTTACTGAAGGTGAGCCAAGGACAGCTTGGCAGTGAAAAACGCCCGGACAGCTCAGTTATATTACAATGATCTTCTTACTGTGGATGGGCCAGCGAAATCCTGCACCACCACAAGGATGGTTGAAACCCTATGAAGAACACCTATCAACTGCAGGAATTCGCAACCACAGTATTTTCATCCTATTTTCCTGTTTTACATTGTTGTCATCCTATTTTCATCTATTTTCCATTGAAAATAGGCAGGATTTCCATATTTTCCAGCCAGAATTCAGCACATATTTCCTTCACGATTTCCTGGTTGGTGGTTGAACCCTACCCCTCTGAAAAATCATGGAGTGAAAGTCAGTTGGGATGATTTTCCATTCCCAACTGTTTCTGGAAAGTCATGTCATCCAGTCATGTTCCAAACCACCAGATACCACCAGCCAGTCCTTCACGATTTCCCTCGCGATTTCCCCCATCTGAGGTGCAGCACGAGTTGGATGAAGACATTGCGATGCCCTCGGCTGCCACTGCCGTGCCGTGCTGCCGCGGCGCCGTGCGCAGAGCCGCCAGCACCTTGGCTCTCATCTGCCCGTAAAGGAAAGGTGGTTTATATATATGTTTATATGGGTTTAGTTCGGGAAAATCAACTATGAATTCTATTTGGTATTTTTTTGATTTTAGATTTTTATAAGTGATAATGGGGATCTCATGGAATTTAGCCCAACTGAGAATGAAACATGGCGGTTAAATCCAGTATCATTCTGGATGGGAATACTTCGCTGGGATTTTTTCAACAATGATATATGGATTTTCCAGCCATTGGGCTATGGTTGATTACCAGAGGTTGCAGGATGGGGCCCCCAAGATAGCTAAGTTGGTTTATAAGTGGCTTAACAATGGTTTATGATAGATATAACTATAGTTAATGGGGATTATAAGGGTTTATAAACCAACTTAGAACTGTGGGGCCCCATCCTGTGGGGGTTCTTATTGGAATTCATCGTAATTAGTGGGGATATGTGGGGATTATACAATAACAATGATGATTCGTGGTGATTGTCGTGGGGATATGTATAGGAATTAATGGCGATTACCACGATTTCCCTTATGAACTAGGGTGTTGGTGCTGATGAAGTAACTATAGTTACATGGGTTATATATACTGTATAAACCAAGTCAGCAATCCAACATGTTGCTATGGTATTGCTATGTTTCATCTCATATATATATGTGTGTGTGTGTTATTTATGTATAGTATTCATGTTTAGTATTTATGTATTCATTTATCTATTTATATATGCATATATTTATTTATTTATTTATTTATTTATTTATTTATTTATTTACCCTCTGGTTATTTAACATAGCCATGGAAAACCACCATTTTTAATAGGTAAACCATCTATAAATGGGCCATCTATACCATGGCTATGTTAAATAACCAGAGGGTAATATATATATTATATATATATATTACACCATTATTTGCCAAATGAAATTGGTGATGTTCCGTAGCCATGCCTCTGTGCATTGTGCCAACCTGCCATCCTCAATGACCTGCCAATTCAAATCATCCTCAGATGCTAGGTTTATGGCACTGGGTTTACCAAATCAGCTATGTTAACCACTGTTCACTAGGTTTTATGGTAATTATAGCTATAGATCTAATAGATAGATGGGTCAAAAACCACTTAGTGGCTTATCCGCAATCCCATCCACCTGTGGTGATTGGGCCATCTACTTTGGTGGTTTTACTCACAAAAATTGGGGATATATAAATAAACCCCATCAAAATGGTCTGACTCCGCATACCCTCTGGTAATCTAACATAGCTACGAAAAATCCACCATTTTGAATGGGAAAATCGAAAATATTTCGACTGGGCCATAGACTCTATGTCGCAAACTGTAACAGTCATTACCAGAGGGTATCTCAATATAACCATCATTAACCATCATTTTGTTTAACCATTATTAACCATTCATCATCATCATTGACCATGAAATTAACCATTAAATTACCCATTATATTACATATCTATCCCAATATTAACCATTAATTGGATTTTCCACTTCCCAAACTGTTAGATTACCAAGTTAGGTCCCAAGAGGTGGTGCCCCAGAAAACGCCAAGTTCGTTTATAAGTTCAATAGTCCTGTGGTTTATGGTAGATATATCTGGGTAAAGGCCAGAATATTTCACTAACCTGAATAGTTCGGCCATTTTGGGATGATTCCCCTTAACAACCATGATTTCCAGTGAGGGAGAACAGTGAGGTCGTTATAATTTGCCCAGATATATCTATACTATTCTATACTATACTTGATTACTATACTGGTTGGTGGTTGAGCCCTACCCCTCTGAAAAATATGAGTTCGTCACTTGGGATGATGACATTCCCAATATATGGAGAATAATCCAAATGTTCCAAACCACCAACCAGTATAGTTTATAAACCAACTTATAACTGGGGGGAGCACAACCTTGCAAAGGGTCCCATGTTCTTTCGCTCCCATTTTCTACAAGGTGGTGCCCCCCAGTTATAACTTTCTTTATAAATCCCATGAATACTATAGTTATAGGTACCATAAACCATAGTTATTGGAGTTATGTTCACCAACTTAGCTATCTACTTGGTGGCTCATCCCACGAATCGTAAGTGGCTTAGTTCACCCCAATTATAACTGGATTCACCCGCTCCTTATCCCATGTAAATCACTGGGGTTATAACCCACTTACGATTCGTGGGTAGTTCGCCACCAAGTAGGGGGCCCCACTTTCTAACCAAACACCAGCCCCTCACTGCAAGACCTCAACTCGCTCGACTCTTCAGATCTCCGGATCTGTGCCCCCGACCTGCGCCCACCGACCTGGTGTCAGCTGGCGAAATCGAAGCAAAAAATGGAGGTGTCAATGGGAAAATCAAAAGATTTTGGAACAAAAAATGGAACATAAAACCTGGAGGTTTAGTTGGGGGTTTAGTTGGTTAGTTGGTTTTAAAAAAAAAAAACACTAAAAAAAACTAACCAACTATAAAAAAAACACTAAAACTGGAGGTTTAGTTGGTGAGTTGGGCAGATCAAACTAGAGAATTTCTGGGATTTTCCACGGAGCCGACCATGACCTGGGGATGATTTACACCATGAAAATGGTGATGACTTGGGGATGGTTACTACTTGGTGTTGCTCACTACCCACGGCTCGTTTTTGGGTTAGTTCACCCCAGTGATTTACATGGGATTTTTGGAGCGGGTGAATCCACTTAGAATTGGGGTGAACTAAGC